CACCCTGGCACAGGTTCGTGCAGTAGACTTAAACATGGTTTGTTTCAGCAGGCTTTCTCAGGCAAACAAACCAAGTCCACAAAATGGCTTAAAATCAGTGACCAGGTTCACCGCATTCATTGCAAAGGAGTGACTTGCGCTTTGCTTTATCCTGGGGAGGGGGGGGTCTCCAACCTGGACTTCAACTCCCAGAATTCCTCAGCCTGACCGGCTGAGGAATTCTGGGAGTTGAAGGCTGCAAGTCTTAAAACTTGCTAGCTTTGGAGACCCCTTGCTTTCTTTTAGCCTGTCGTGGGAGCCTGCCCGTAACCTTCACAACAGCCCTGCGAGGTCCGTGTGTCCATGGGAATGGGGGAAGTGACTCAGCCAAAGTCAAATTAAAACGGGGATCCAGACACCCCTCCAGGCTCCTGGCTGAGGAGGCTTCGTTGTGTCAGCCCTGTGACAAATGAGAAATTATGAGATATCCGGGCGCTGGATGGGATGTGATTCATCTTCCGTGGATGCAAATTATGCGGCTCCCGATGCACCTTCCAAAAGCCACACCCTCAGGTTCCTCAAGGCAGACTGTACGGAGGCATCCCGCCCACCTCCCCGGCACATCTGGGATGGATGGAAAACTTTGCAGCTGGAAATTAATGGGATCGGGCGAAGTTTAGATCTGGGAAGCGACCCTCAGAGCCTCCAGATTCAGGAGCACTGTACCTTATTTCTCGTCTTATCGGATTCCAAGCCTCCTCACCAACCCCTAAAGCGACGCCCCCAAACTACTTGACAAGTTAAAGGAAACGACATTCCAGGTAGTCCTCCACTTAACAAGAGTTCGTTTAGTGACCGTAGAAAGTTTGCAATGGCACTGAGCGGAGATGGACAAATTGACGAAAGGAATAAAAGGAAAAGATGAAACAGAATATTGCTTAATATGGGAGAAACGGTACAAACGGCCGGAGGACAGGAATAACAAACGAAATGAATAGAATAGAATAGAATAGAATAGAATAGAATAGAATAGAATAGAATAGAATAGGAATAGGAATGGAATGGAATAGAATTCTTTATTGGCCAAGTGTGATTGGACACACAAGGAATTTGTCTTGGTGCATATGCACCAGTGTACATAAAAAGACAAGATGCGTTCATAATAGAGATGATCTAGAAATTAGAAAGTATTAATAAAATGATATTAAATATATATCACGTGTAAAGTAATATATGGATACGATAGTTTGTATAATAAGTAAGGAATAGTATTTATAAATATATAAGAAATAAGGGAACCACAAAAATAAATATGTGAATAGGTAGTTGGGAGGGGTGGGGGGAACACAAAATGTGGATATATACAGATACGGAACTGTTGCAAAATGAAACTTTTCATTTGTTTTTGTTTTGAAAGAAAAAAAATAAAAATAATAAAAATAATAAAGTTGCAACAGCACTGAAAAAAGTGACTTACTACCGTTCTTCCCACTTAACGAACGTTGCAGCATCCCTCACGGTCAAAAATTCAGACGCTTGGCCACCGACTCGTATTTATGACAACTTGCAGAGTCCCGGTGGGGTGTGTCTGTGTGTGTCACGCGATCCCCTCTTGCGACCTCCTCACCAGCCAAGTCGATGGGGAAGCCCGATTCACTTAACAATTGGGTGACTTCCTTAACTAATGCAGTGATTTCACTCAACCCTGGGGCAAGAAAGGTGGTAAGACAGGGGTGAAATGTAAAATTTGTTACCACCAGTTCTGTGGGCATGGCTTGGGGGGGGGGTAATGTGACTGGGTGGGTGTGGCCAACTTTTTTATTTTTTTTAACTTTTCAAAGCATTTTTTCTAATGCTTTGAAAAGCCTCTCTGCCGATCAGGCAACTCAACTGGGATCGTCAGAGAGGCTTTTAAAAAAATGCCTCTCTGCCGATCAGGCAACTCAGCTGGAATCATCAGAGACTTTTCAAAGCATTTTTTTTACCACCTCTTCGGCCAAGAGGTTGCAGAAAAAAATGCTTTGAAAAGCCTCTGACCATCCCAGGTGAGTCGCGCGATCATCAGAGGCTTTTCTTTTCTTTTTTACTTTTTTTCGTCGGAAGAGGTTGTAGAAAAAATGCTTTTAAAAGTAAAAAAAAAAAAGCCTCTGATGATCGTGCGGCTCAACTGGGCATGGTGGGGGGTGGGGAGGCGCAGGGATTTTTGCTACCGGTTCTCCGAACCGCCCGCCGCCATTGCTACTGGATCGGGCGATCTGGTCCGAACCGGGAGCATTCCTCCCTGTGGTAAGGTGAGGCAAAACTCACTTAAACACAGGTTTCGCTTACAAAACGAAGCAGAAATTTTGGCCTCCGTTGTGGGGTTGGTAAAGTCGAGGATCACCTGAACATTAAAAAAGAAACGAGATAATATCCCACCCCACATCACATCCCCTTCAGGGGTTGTAAAAAGTGTAATGGGGATTTGTGCCTTTTATTTAAACTGTTTTCCCATGGGCGACTGTATTCCACAACTTGCCTAATGTTGGGTTAACGTCTTGCTTTTAAACTCTGGAGGGCTGCCCAGATCTCCTTTTGCAGCTGGAGAGGCGGGCTCGGAAGTTCAGACTTTAGCAACAGCGTGGAAAAAGCTGGCCTTTTTGCAAGGGTTAATTGTGAAATATAATATATTTGTGTCTCTCTCTGTGTGTGTATGATAAACTTTTGGGAACACTTGGAAAATAATTGTGCCTGCGGTTTAAGAATATTTTTGCTGCTTTTATTTTGCAATTTTTTAAAAAAAAAATTCCTTCGGCTAAAGAACTGGGATCATGCCTGGCTCAGATATGTTGAGGGGGGTTCAAAAACATCCAAAAACAGGTAGTTTTTTTTTCATCCAAAAACTACCTGTTTTTGGATGAATTCGTGACCATTTTATGATGGGGCCCTTTTTAAAACGGGGGGTAGGGGGGCTTGAATTTGGAATACCTGGGAAGGATGCTGCAGAATGCAAATGGAAATGAAGAGACTATTTATTTATTTATTTATTTATTTATTTATTAGTTCGATTTATATATGCCGCCCTTCTCCGGAGACTCAGGGCGGCTTACAATGCATTAAGCAATAACCTTCATACTTTTGTATATACCTGCTTAGTAGGGCTTTTTGGGGCCCCCTGAGCGGTGTTCTATTTTATACAAAGTCAGCTTATTGCCCCCACAAACCGGGTCCTCATTTTACCTACCTCGAAAGGATGGAAGGCTGAGTCAACCTTCAGCCTGGTGAGATTTGAACTCGCAGTAATTGCAGGCAGTTGGCAGCTAAGTACTACTTTAACAGCAGCAGTTTAGTCCACTGCGCCACCAAGGCTCTTGACATCAAAATGTGGATAGTTTGATTTATTTTGCGAAATGATGTGGCAATCAAAGTGGATTTGATTTAAATCGAGTTGATTTAAATCACGATTTAAATCATGATTTAAATCACTAGTAAAAACACTTGATTTAAATCAACTCGATTTAAATCATAATTTTTAAAGAGCAACTGTCATCTCTGCTACTCCTTTGACCCACTGTTGACTCACCGATAGTCCCAGTGTTGCAGAATATATTATTTATTTATTTATTTATTTATTACATGTATTTATATGCCGCCATTCTCCCGAAGGACTCAGGGCAGTGAACACAAGTTAATATACATTAATATACAATTAATATACAAGTTAATATAATATACAGCCTCATGCTACATAACTAAGCTCCATTCCATGCTGAATAAACTAAATTATTTATGTATCTTAAGTAGAAAACTATCTTACGATAGATTTTTACCCCCAAAGTTTTTTATTAAAATAAATTCGATAAAAATCAAAAAAATCCGATTTAAATCAAAAAAATCTGATTTTTTTTGATTTTTTTAAAAAAATCATTGATTTTTATCCACCTTGGTGGCAATTAATATACCCCTCAATGTATTCAGGATTTCTCCTATTACGGTTCTAGGGCAGATCAATTCCAGCGTTGACATTTTGGGGGAGGCATCAAGGTTTTTGGGGTCCCGGGGCTTTACATGCCCCCCCAGACCCCTAACAGGTTAAATCAAAATCATCCTCTGTCATCCTACTGACCCCCAGTGCAGATCGTTGGGACTGGGAGGATTTTTGTAAACTAAGCATAGCGTTTTCAGACAGCTATCTTGAATCTGTAGGGTCCTTGGTGGCCTCTGAGCTTGGTTGTTTTCTTGGTTGTTTCATTACCCAACTACATGATGACTTCAGTGCTAGGAGGGAGTGTGGTTTGCAGAGTAGAGGAGGAAGAGGAAAAGAGGGAGGAGGAGAGGAAGAGGTGAACTGTGAGGTCCTTGGTGCTCTCTGAACTTGGTTGTTTTGCTGCAGACATTTAATTACCCAACTAGGCACTAAGATCAGTGCCAGAAGGGAGTGGGGTTTGTGGAGTGGAGGAGGAGGAAGAGAAGGGGAGGAGGAGGAGGAAGAAGAGAAGGGGAGGACCTTGATGCTCTCTGAACTCGGTTGTTTTCTCTCAGACATTTCATTACCCAACTAGGTAACAACATCAGTGTTAGAAGGGAGTGGGGTTTGTGGAATGGAGGAGTAAGGAGAGAAGAGGAAGAGGAGGAAGAGGAGGATTGTGGGGTCTTTGGTACTCTCTGAGCTTGGTTGTTTTCTCGCAGACATTTCATTACCCAACTAGGTAACAACATCAGTGTTAGAAGGGAGTGAGGTTTGTGGAATGGAGGAGAAAAGGGTAAGGAGAGGAAGAGAAAGAGGAGGATTGTGGGGTCTTGGTACTCTCTGAGCTTGGTTGTTTTCTCGCAGACATTTCATTACCCAACTAGGTAACGGCATCATTGCTAGAAAGGAGTGGGGGGCTTACTCTCATTTTGTATGCAAGCGTCTTGCAAGAAAACCACTGAGCTCAGCAGAGCCCCCCGAGGACTCCACCGTTCAACCCTGCCTGGTCCAGGTTCTCCTTCGATCGGTATCCTGAACCTCCTGCTACCGCTTTCTCCCCCCCCCCCTGCAGAACCGCAATCCCTTGGTCGCCGTCTACTACACCAACCGCGCCTTATGTTACCTAAAAATGCAACAGCACGACAAGGCCCTGGCCGACTGCAAGCACGCCCTGGAGTTGGACGGGCAGTCAGTGAAGGCCCATTTCTTCCTGGGACAGTGTCAGCTGGAGATGGAGAATTACGACGAGGCCATTGCTAACCTTCAAAGAGGTGAGCGGGGGTGGGTGGGTGGGGGAGATCTCTGGGTATCCTGTGTCTCAACTCTGGCAACTTTTAAGAGGTGTGGACTTCAATATATATATATATATAATATATATATATATATATATATTAAAAGAATTTTCTTAGAAAAGAAAAAAGGCCAGAACCGAGTAGATGTGATTCTACTGAGCTGGAGCTACAAAAAAACCTTGGCTACGTAGGGAAAACCTGGCTAGAAGAAAAAAACACATAAACCGTACGAAGAAGTAAGAAAATTGATACTGTACCTTTACAGGGAGGATACATAAGATATGGGTGTGGCCTACTGATGAAAGCAAACGAGCTAGAAATGGATCTATTTAGGTCTCCCACCTAGCAGTTAGAGCTTGCTAGCTGTTAGAAAAGAAAAAAGGCCAGAACCGAGTAGATGTGATTCTTGGTTACTTAAATTTTCGCGGGTATGTATATGCAAAAAATTAAAATCTCAGGTGTTTTCCCACGTCATGTTAAATAAATTAGTTAAAATGTTTAAAATTCTGGTAAAAATCCTAGCTTAAAATCTTCCAAAAATCCTTACAGAGCACTCTGCAAGGTCCTTTAAAACCTTAGCTAAAATCCTACCAGTAACTTTAAAAGTTTTTCTTATAGCAACGTTTCGACAGGCTCACAACCTGCTAGCAACCCAACGTTGCTAGAAAAAAAAACTTTTAAGGTACTGGTAGGATTTTAGCTAAGTTTTTAAGGACCTTGGGGAGTGCTCTGTAAGGATTTTTGGAAGATTTTAAGCTAGGATTTTAACCAGAATTTTAAACATTTTAACTAACTTATTTAACATGACGTGGGAAAACACCCGAGATTTTAATTTTTTGCATACATACATACATACATACATACATACATACATACACTGTTTTTCTTTCCAATGTTTCATAGATAACTTTTTAATTGATTGATTTGTACATCTTGTCCAGAGACAATTCATCATCGGCGCTATCAGTGAGTGGCGTTTGCTTTCATTTTATACATTTTATGGCTTTCTTGAAGTGATAGGAAAGAAAAAATAATGAATACAAAAGACAATTTCGTACTGGGGGGGGGAAAGTGTATTCGTTTATTATCTCTTACTATTAAAAGGTTAAAGGAATTGAAAAAGAGCGGCATCAAAACGCCAGACCCAAAACAAGTAATCAAGGCTCACTGCAGTATTTTATCATTTAACAGTGTGCACTGGAGGGGGTGCCACCCCCACCCCCCCAAATTAATGGGAGACACCCCCCCCAAGACAAAAAGATGCCCTCATCTTTATACATTTCAGAAAGGACAAAAAAGTGGTGCCTGCATACATATTTATCAGTCGTAATAGACCTCACTTCCTGGCCTTCTATGATCCACAGAGAACAATGGCCTTAGCTAAAAGAAATATTGACATCTCGAGATTCAGAAGTTGGCATGAGAACGTTCCGATAAAACTTACCACAGGCTGCTGTGAGCTCCAAGGTCACATTCCTTATGTCTCCGTTTGTGAAACAGTCCCATTCATTTGCAAGCTGATTTTCCCTCCGAAAGTAACATAAAAATGAAAGAAACATTCAAGCTGATGTAGCCGGAGATAGCATATAATATGAAATTATGAGAATAGAATCCCTTATATCCCATGATAGTGCCGATGATGGGATATATGAAAATATTTCAGTCAATTAAAGGGAGCCCCGTCCCCTCTAATTACAAGTATATTTTATATTTATGTTTCATGTTCTTTCGCCCTTTAATTATGTACAGTAAAATCAAGAGAGGCCAGTCGATCAAAATTAAGATTGGAAACCGCTTTCCTAAATAATGACGAGAAAGCGTCTTGAGGGGGTGGGGAGGTTGAGAAAAATCAGAAAAAGTAAGTTGAAATTGAAATTAGAGAAGGCTGCCTGGGGTATTCTGGGTTTTGAAGTCCTCCCCCCATCTTAAAATGGTTAAGGTTGGGGAACACTGTCCTAGGGGCAGGGGTGAAATCCAGCAGGTTCTGACAGGTTCTGGAGAACCGGTAGCAAAAATTTTGAGCAGTTCGGTGAACCGGCAAATACCACCTCTGGCTGGCCCCAGAGTGGGGTGGGAATGGGAATTTTGCAGTATCCTTCCCCCAGGAGTGGGGAGGGAATTTATTTTTATTTTATTTATTTTTATATGCCGCCCTTCTCCGGAGACTCAGGGCGGCTTACAATGCGTTAAGCAATAGCCTTCATACTTTTGTATATTTTATACAAAGTCAGCTTATTGCCCCCACAAACCGGGTCCTCATTTTACCCACCTTAGAAAGGATGGAAGGCTGAGTCGACCTTGAGCCTGGTGAGAATTGAACTCGCAGTAATTGCAGGCAGCTGGATGTTAAATGCTGCCTTAGTAGGAGGCATTAGCCTCCTACGCCACTCAGGCTCCTACTCAGGATATTGCAGAATGGGCATTTTGCAATATCCTTCCCCCAGGAGTGGGGTGGGAATGGAGATTTTGTAGTATCTTTCCCCTGGAGTGGGTTGGGAATGGAGATTTTGCAGTATCTTACCCCCAGGAGGGGGGGGAATGGGGATTTTGCAATATCCTTCCCCTGGAGTGGGGAGGGAATGGAGATTTTGCAGTATCCTTCCCCTGCCACGCCCACCAATCTACACCATGCCCACAGAACTGGTAGTAAAAAAAAATTGGATTTCACCACTGCCTTAGGGTCGGTCTCCTTAGTCTAGTTTTGGGTTCAGAAAAAAAAAGGCTTATTTGGGTTACGCCAATTACTCCTGCAGGAGCCAAGTTCTGGATCAAAGCCGGGCACAGTTGGCCAACATCAAAGCCCTTGTTGGCCTTTGTCCTGCCCCTCCATGGCATTGCATGAGGGTCAGAAACAAGCCAAGCTGTGGAGCATCTTCTCTGGTCCCCTGGTGGGATGCACTGACCATGTTCCCTCTCCTTGAATGGGCATCATTTGTGTTGTGTTGGCCAAAGGTGGGCCTTAAGAGATGGGGTCAACGTTAGCAAGATGGCTGTGTCTTCTTCCAACAAAGCTAGAAGCAAGTCGCAAAAGCAGCTGCCTTTTTAAAAAAAAAAAAAAAACATGTTAATTGGAAAATGTGTTCTGGGGACTTGCTTTGATTAGAGAGGTGTGTTAGAGCCAAGCACGGTTACAGATTCCAGCTGATTTGGAAATACGCTTTAAAAACAAGTCAGCAACCCACAGCCGAGAAGAATGGGCGAGGGATTAGCTTGCATTGTTCGTAACACCCCTGGACCCTCGGGGACAGTCCGCCTTTCTCTGTTTTGTACAGCTGCTCAAAAGTTACCATTCTCATTAAAAACATTAAGTGGAAAATTGTTGAGGTGCAAAATACAATAACTTGATTGTCACTTTGAAAGTATAATCGACATACGTTAAAATGAAATTTCGTTGCACACAACTGTCAAAGGGTCACTCACCACCTCCAATATACACCACATAAACAAGACAAAATAAATAAATCTGCGTGTACCCACATATATTATTTGACACGGAGGAACAACACAGTCTAGTTCGGATATATACATGTACATGGCGTAGAAAAACGAACCTTGCGAGTTTATCAGACGGAGGGCATATAGGGAACAAAGGTGTTACAGAATCTGGTAATCCTGCTGGAAATACTTCGAAACCTCCTCCCAGAAGTGGGGTGGGGGAGAGAGAGAGAGGCCGAGAAGGAGAGAGAGAGAGACTGAGACAGAGACAGACAGAGAGATCGGGAGAGAAAGACAGAGACCGAGAGAGAGACAGAGACAGAGACAGAGAGACCGAGAGAGAGAGACTGAGACACAGAGACAGAGACAGAGAGGCCGAGAGAGAGAGATAGAGAGACAGACACACACAGGGAGAGTCAGACAGAGACAGAGAGACAGAGAGAGATACTGAGAGAGAGAGAGAGACCTTTGGACAATACTTATAAACATTTTCTTTTAAATTGTAATTTAGGGTAAATTTTAAACCTTTCATCCACATGTTCTTCCATTATAGGCAAAGTTCTTTGCCCACCGAATCATACAATGCGTTACATATTGACTTTCCAAATTCAAATTCAATAACGTTTCATGGACTCTAAATTCTCAATTCTGCTTTTCGTTCAAAAAAACAAAACAAAACCCCTCTCTCAAACCCTGATTCTTGGTTGCTGAAAACTCTTTTCTGAAACTGTTCAGAAGACCCCGGAGAAGAGAAGGCAGGCCCTTGAAGGGTGAAATTCGGAACTTTGTGGATTTTGTACACGTGTCTGACTCACATAGCTGCTACTTATGGGTTTCCTTCTTCCTGACCCTGCTGCCCCAAGATGGGTTGGGTAGTCATAAGCTGGTTGGGGCACATGGCAGCCGTAGTTCCCCTCTGGGACATGTCAGACCGGGGAGAGCAGCCTAAATTACTGTAATGCTCTCTACATGGGGCTCCCCTTGAGGAGCACCCGGAGGCTCCAACTGGTCCATAATGCGGCCGCGCGGGTGGTTATGGGGGTGACTCGGCACTGCCATGTAACACCTCTCCTGCGCGAGCTGCACTGGCTCCCGGTGGTCTTCCGGGTGCGCTTCAATGTATTGGTTACCACTTTTAGAGCGCTCCATGGCTTAGGACCCGGGTACTTACAAGACCGTCTAACTAAACTAACTAACTAAAAAACTGAAAAGGAGCTGCATCTGTCGAGCGGGGATTGGAAACTTGAGCTGAACATGAGACGGCGAGGCAGAGTGGGCGGTGAGATGCCATAAGATTTAGATTTCAGAGAACTTGTTTTACCGCTCCTGTTCTTGACGTTGCAATTCAATCCATGCTTTTTTTTTTTTTTTGCATTTTCAGCCCACAACTTAGCCAAAGAGCAGCGGCTGAACTTTGGGGACGACATTCCGAGCGCCCTGCGCATCGCCAAGAAGAAACGTTGGAATAACATTGAGGAGAAGCGGATCAACCAGGAGAACGAGTTGCACGCTTATCTCACCAAGCTCATCATGGCGGAGAAGGAGAGGTAGGCGGGAGATGGGGGGGGAAGAGGATCGGTGTGGGGGGGCCTGGATGGAAAGACTCTGGGAGAAGGCGTGGATCTAGTTCTAGGTGGGAGAAGACCAGAGGGGGGGGGCTTCAAAAATTTTAGCAAGGGGTTCTCTGCTGGGTGGGCATGGCCATGGTGGGCGTGGCCTAGTTGGCCTCCTGCACCACAGTGGACGGGGGGCGGTTTTGCCCTCCCCAGACTCCGGAGGCTTTCCTCGAGCCCTCTGGAGGCCAGAAACGGGCCCGTTTCAGGCCTTCCCGAACTTCCGATAGGCCCATTTTTCATCCTCCCCAAGCCTCCGGGAGCGCCCTGCACTTACCTGCATCCAAAACGAGCCATGTGGGGACTCCTGGGAGGGGAGGGGTGGGCGGGGCCAGCCAGGAGTGGGATTTGGGGGTTCTCCGAACTGCACAGAATCTTAGCCAGAGGTTCTCCCGAACCCCTGCAAACCCCCAGCAGCCCACCCCTGGAGAAGACCTGATGACCAGTGATTCTTAAAGGAGACTTGCGCCCATCCTTTCCTTAAGCCCGCTCATCTCGCAAGCTTTGTAGAAGAGCAAGCAGAATTGGGAGGCGGAGTTAAGCGAGTCATCAGCCTGGAATCCTTAAGTTGCCACAAACGATCCAAGTCCAACTGCTTTTGAATTCCACTGACCCTTACCTCCTGGCCCTTAAGATGGTCATAAGTGTGAAAAACAACCATGTGTTCTGCCCCAGCTATGGACCCCAAAGAATGCAGACACACAAAGTCTGTACAAACCTTAGTTTTACTAAATTAAATATTTTTTTTTCCAAAGAAAGGCTGTTAATTAACTTTCTTAACAGCCTACAAGAATCCAAAGAATAAATAATCTTAATCTTGCTAGCACTATCTTACTATCACTGGCAGAAAGCTGAGAAGCAATTTGCAGAGAACTAAGATCAAGGCACAAAGAGTGAATGAAGTTGTTCCCTGCAAATTGCTTCAGTCGGCATTCCTCCTTAAATAGGCTAAGGGAGTGGCCAATTAGCCCCAAGCCTTACTCTCAAGGAGACCTCCTCCTGCCTTTTGGCAGCTCTGCGCACCCATGCATCGAGAAGAGGCTCCTCCTCTTCATCCTCTTCACTTATAGGAGCTTCTGGAGGTTCTGAAGGCCCTGGCTGAATCCCCGCCTCTGGCACCACATCTTCTCCAGCCTCCTCATTGTCTGACTCGAGTGCCAGCTGCACAGGCTGCTAGAGCAGCACCACACCAGCCTCCTTGCTGTCTGAATCAGCTACTAGCTGCACAGGCCGCGTACGGGCCACAACATAAGGTTGGAACAAATCTGATCTCCAGAGGAAGTGATGTTCCAAAGGGCAGAAGGCGCCATGACAGAAGAAGCTCTCTTCTGAGTGAGCCAGATGTCCTCTCCTCCCCTCACACCCTCTCCACACTTTGCTTCTCTTTCAGGGAACTCGACGAATGCCAACGGGCCCAGGAGCAGGAGAACATGGATGAAAACCGGAGCCGGACACAGTTGGCCAACATCAAAGCCAAACACGTAAGGACCCCTTGTTGGCCTTTGTCCTGCCCCTCCACGGCATTGAATGAGGGTCAGAAGCAAGCCAAGCTGTGGGGCATCTTCTCTGGTCCCCTGGTGGGATGCACAGACCATGTTCCCTGTCCTTGACTGGGCACCATTTGTGTTGTGTTGGCCAAAGGTGGACCTTATGAGAAGGCGTCAACGTTAGTAAGTTGGCTGTCTCTTCTTCCAACAAAGCTAGAAGCAAGTCACAAAAGCTGATGCCTTTTCAAAAAAAATAGAATAGAATTGAATTCTTTATTGGCCAAGTGTGATTGGACAACACACAAGGAATTAGTCTTTGGTGGAGATGCTCTCAGTGTACATAAAAGAAAAGATATATTAGTCAAGAATCATAAGGTACAACACTTAATGATAGTCTTAGGGTACAAATAAGCAATCAAATCATACTAGGAAACAATCAGTATAAATCGTAAGGATACAAGCAACAAAGTTACAGTACAGTGTTTTCTTTTCTGTGGAAAATGGGTCCAAATGGCTCTTTTGAGTGTTTAAGGTTGCAGACCCCTGGCTTATCTCAACAGAGTCAAGATCTAGTCTTCTTGAGGTGTTGTTGTTTTTTTCTAATCTGGGTTGATCGTTCCAAAGCCATGCACATTCTTCCTGCCCTCGATCTCCAAAGATATCTGATCTTTTAGAAACCCATTCAACCACACTTGTTATGTAGCCAGAGGACTCTGCTGCTTCTCAAGGTAGCCCTCCATTTGGCTCCCAAAGGTGCTTTTTTCAGGAGGCAACTGGACTTCCTTGTTTTTTTTTCTCTTTCAAAGACGTTTCGCTTCTCATCCAAGAAACTTCTTCAGCTCTGACAGGATATCAGAGCTGAAAAAGCTTCTTGGATGAGAAGCGAAACATCTTCAAAAGAAAAAAGAGAGTCCAGTCACCTCCTGAAAAAAGCATCTTTGGGATAACCATGACCTGGATGACTGAGAATCTCTACAGACTTTGAGCTATGCAATTTGGGATGAACCCCCTTGGAATGGCGTGGGAGTAGGAACAGATTTCCAGAGGGAAAAACTGCAGACTGCAGGAACCATTTGCACCACTCAGGTGATCCTGAGGACACAGAGAAACCTCCAAGTGCTTCAATGACCCTCTAAAAGGAGGCAAATGACCAGCTGTCTGCAAGGAATATAAATCCTTCCATCCCCCAGTATCCAGTCAGAGCTGAAGAAGCTTCTTGGATGAGAAGCGAAACATCTTCAAAGGAAAAAAAAACCAGAAAGTCCAGTTGCCTCGTGAAAAAGCATCTTTGGGACAAGCATGACCTGGATGACTGAGAATCTCTACAGAGGTTCTTTCCCTACAATGGATATTTGGCCCTCAGCCCAGAGGTAACATGGCTTCTTCTAGGCAGATAGACCTCCAGGAATCTGTTCACTCCTCTTTGAAAGCCATCCAAGACGACTTCTGTGTTTTTTTGGTGGCCATGGTAACGAAAGGATCCAATTTCTCTTTCAGGAAAAATATCTAGCAGACATGGACGAACTCTTCTCTCAGGTGGACGAGAAGAGGAAGGTCAGTTTTGTTTATGTATTGAATTTATTTGGATTTGTTTTGCCACCCATCTTGGATGGATGGATGGATGCAGGGGTGGGATTCAGCCGGTTCGGGCAAGCCAGAAACTAATTTTACATCCGGTTCGCCGAACTGGTAGTTGGAAGGACTGGCTGGCCCCACCCACCCTGCCTCACCCCTCCCAGGAGTCTCCACACGGCCCGTTTTGGATGCGAGGTAAGTGCAGGGCCCACGCAGAGGCTCTGGGAGGGTGAAAAATGGGCCTCCTGGAAGTCTGGAAACAGGCCTGTGTTTGCCCTCCCAGAGACTTGAGGAAAGCCTCCAGAGCCTGGGGGGACAAAACCCCCCCCCCCCCCCCCCACCCCGTGGTGCAGGAGGCAGAGTACCCCCATGGCCATGCCCACCCAGCAATTGGGCAAAGAACCGGTTGCTAAAATTTTTCAATTCTACCCCTGGATGGATGGAAATCTAATAATATACTCTTGAGCCATCCTTAGAAAAGAAAAACGATGTTGTTTTTTTTTTTAATCAACTCTTCTTCTGTTGGTACATTTTCTTTTTTCCAATTTTGTGCGTATACTATACAGGCAGCTGTTATAATACGTAAGATCAAATATTTTATTTCCTTGATGTATTTTTCAGTAAATATCCCTAATAAGAATGTCTCTGGTTTTCCTCTCATAGTTGTTTCTATTATTTTCTCTAGCCATTCTTTAATCTTAAACTTTAGAGTATGCCAAGATGGATAAATTAACAAAAGAGCTTAAAGAAAAAGAGGATTCGGAATATTATATCATCTGGCACAAATGGTATAAGTGGCTGGAGAATAGGAATAACGGAGAAGAAAAATAGGGGTGAAATGTAAAAAAAGGAAAGAATGAATATATTAATGTATAGAAAATTTAAAGTTAATATGAGTCTTAATAAATACACTGTAATTAAAAGAGAAGGGGAGAAGAAGAAACTGGAATAATATAAAGGGATAAGGGGGAAAATGTAAATATTAGAATAAATCATCACAAAATAGCTGTTAAGAGAGTATATATATAAACGTCGTATGTCTTGTAATGTCATTTTATGTTATAATAATAAAAAATTTAAAAAAATTTAAAAAAAGAATAGGAAAATGATGAAGAACCTGCAATTTAGAAGTTCGATGCCGAGTTAGAAATACTGAGTAATATTCTCTCCTTTGGGGGGCCAGAAACGGGACATCCCTGATTATCTGTGCGGGAAGATCAGCTTCGAACTGATGCGGGAGCCTTGCATTACGCCGAGTGGGATCACCTATGACCGGAAGGACATTGAAGAGCACCTGCAGGTAATTGAGGCAGGCTGGCTGCCCTAGGAGGAGGAACAGGAATCCCAAGTCATGGAATAAATGTCAGGATGAGCTACAAATTCCAAATCTAGAGCTGAGAATCCCAAATCTGGAGCTGGTTCATAGGGCCGAAGCCTGGTTCAGAATACATATGGATCTCTGGCCCACAAGATCTTGTGTGTTCTGACCTAGGCTTCCCAAGAGCAGGAAGCAGACTCCTTGTCCCAGCAAAAAACCCCTTTTTATTAAGTTACTGTGAATTCCTCTCATTCACATCCAGCAAAGTCTTTCAAGGGAGAATTCACAGTCACAGACCTTAATCTGTCTTGGAGAGCTGCCAGGCCGATATCTTCAAAACTTGGCCAGGAGTCTCGGAGAGTCACGAACCAATTAAGCGAACTAATTGTCTCCTGCAAACTACCCTCCCCTTTCACTCCTCTTTTATTCCCTCTGGGAGGGGCCCTTCATCGTCCACCTGTGGCCTTATTCCCAAGTCGCCCCTTGTTCTTCAGCTGTTCCCTTCATCTGGCAACTCTGTGCATGCGCACACTGGGAACAGGCTCCAGCTGTTTGTCTGCCTCACTGATGTCTGACTCCGAAGGCAGCTGACAACTGTCAGACGGCCCTGGCTCCCTCTCTGCCTCCGATGCAGAGCCCTCATCAGAGCCTTCCCCAGACTCCAGGACTGGCCCATTTTCCTCCCCAACCTCCTCACTGTCCGAATCGGCTGCCAGCTCTGCTGGCCACAACATTGTGGCCAGAGATCTTTCCTTGGCCTCCGGTAGGTCCTTAAAGATCGGCAGCCTTTTTTGAGGAAGAGGCTGGAGGCTGCAGGGGGTGTGGGTGTGTGTGTGGACTGAGTGATGCAAATGATGAAGGATTTGAGGCTTTCTGTGCCCGAGTGGTTTTCCCACCTTTCAAACTGGTTTTCCTAAGCAGTTTATTGGTCTCAGCCAGGATTAGAACAGGGCTTCTCAACCCCAGCAATTCTAAGATGTATGGACTTCAGCTCCCAGAATTCCCCAGCCAGCATGATGTATTGTCTTTAACGGCCTTTAAAGTTCCAGTGGAATATGGTTTGGGTGGCCTTGCTGTGGTTATTGAGGCCATCCCTGGCCTGAAAATAATCCGCTCCTCTGGCTTCTCTACCCCACCCCTACCCCACACAACCTCCTCTTCTGTATCCTCCCTAGCGGGTCGGCCATTTTGACCCCGTGACTCGAAGTCCGCTGACCCAGGACCAGCTGATCCCAAATCTGGCCATGAAAGAGGTGATCGACGCCTTCATATCCGAAAACGGCTGGGTGGAAGATTACTGACCTGCGAAGGAGGGGAATGCTCCTGGGCACCTCCAGCTGCTACGGCGACCAAGAAGGCCTCCCCCTCTCTGGACCGCGCCAGACTGCCCACTGGGCCACTCCCATGCCTTAGCATCTTCCCCCTTTCCTCTTTCTTCACCTGCCTGGCTCGGCCGAGTTGGGGATTGGCTCCCCTTCCCTCCTCCAGTAGGCAGGAGGGCGGGGTAGCTCCATGGCTTCCGTGGTCTTCTGAGCCGGATCTCCTTCTGGGCAACGAGGAGACCTCGGCCTTTGATCTTGACACAGGTGGAGTAGCTTCTTGGTTGCTGTGGTCTTCTTCTGAGCCGGATATCTCCTTCCGGGCAACAAGGAGACCTCAGCTTTGATCCAGACAGGAATGGAAGATGTTCCCATCGCAGAAGCTCAAGGCTCGACGAGTTAACCTTTTCCCGGGCTTCGTAAGGGCCACTTTATCCCAAGCCCACCAGACTTTGGTAGCACACCGTTAGCACACCCTTCCCACTTCCACCCAGATCCCTTCTTCCTCCCTTGCTCGGCACGCCTTCCTCCCCACGCCACCAGCCCTCGCAAAGGACCTGGCCTCTCCGTGGAGTAAAGACTGGATCCGGCCCCCCCACTCACCCACCTTACCTTCCAGGAAACCCCTCCAGCCGTTGCTTCTTTTCCTGACCTCTTTACCTGTACAAAGTTTTCCTTCTCGACCGCCATTTTCCTGCCTGTTCAAGAAGAGCCCGAAGTTCCGCATCTGCTTCTCTGTAAATAAACGGCCACCGATTTGGGGGCGCATCAGGGAGGGGGCGAAGAGAGATGGTTCATTATTTCGTCTTTTCTCCAAGTGGACTGGAATTCGGGGAGAAACGGTCTGCCCAGCTAGCAGAAAAATTGTATTGAGGGAAGAAGGGGGGAGAAGAGAGCTGGAGCCCCGCGGTTCCTTTCTGGGTAGTTTGTTTTGATTTATTATAGTACTCAAAAAAAAAAGTTTTATGTTTTCGGGTTGGTTTTGAATTAAACTTCTCCCCTCCCCTTCCCTACTTCAATCATCACAGCATAGTTTGCAGTTTTATTGGAGCCTATCGATTGAGAGTTTTCCCTCTGAGGGAAGACAAATGGGAAAATCAGCCGATGTCAGTGATGGCGAATCTTTTCGGCACCCGAGTGCCCAAACCGGAATGCGTGTGCATGCACATATGCCGGAAACCTGAAGATCAGCTGGCCAGAATGTTTACACACTCCGGCCCGAAAAACGGCCTGAAAACGGCCCAAAAAATGGCCTGAAAACGGCCTGGTTTTTTGGGTGTTTTCAGGGTGTTTTGTGGCGCTCTGCCCGTGGAGACCAGCTGGCTGGCGTGCCGGAAAGCAAAACAGCAGTTGGCAATGGCGCGCTTGCCCACAGAGAGGACTCTGAGTGCCACCTCAGGCACGCATACCTTACGTTCGCCAACATGGGCCTATGTCCTCTCTGGATTTATTTATTTATTTTAGTTCTTTGGAACAGGAGTAAAATACTTTTGAGTGGGAAGGGCCAGGAATCCTACCCAGGCAAAGATACAGGGATCAGCTGAAGAAAATCCTGCTGTTTTTTTTTGTTTTGTTTTTTTTACATCCATCTACAGGTAGTCCTCGACTTTACGGCCACAGTTTACCTTGCTAAGTGAGGAATCTGTTAAGTGAGTTTTGTCCCCTTTTTCGATTTTCCTTGCCACGTTAGTAACACGGTTATTCAGTGGAATCGGCTTCCCCGTCCGACTTTGCTCGTCGGAAGGTCGCAAAAAGGAGGATCACGTAACCCCGGGACACTGCAAGCGTCACAAATGTGAGCCAGTTGCCAAGCATCTGAATGTGTAAATCGTAACCCTGGGGATGCTGCGACGGTCATAAAGTGTGAAGAACAGTCATAAATCCCTAGCCCTGACTAGATGGCTCAGTGGCTAAGACACTGAGCTTGTCGATCAGAAAGGTCGGCAGTTCGGCGGTTCAAATCCCTAGTGTAGGTCTGCGTGAGCAGGGGGTTGGACTAGATGACCTCCAAGGTCCCTTCCAACTCTGTTACTGTTACTGTCCCTTTTTTCAGTGCCGCTGTAACTTCGAACGGTCACTAAATGAACTGTCGTAAGACAAGGACTACCTGTATTGCCGCATCTATTGCTCCTTTCAGCGTTGGGCCCGCTAGAGATAGTCCTCCACTTATGACCATTTGTTCAGCGACTGTTCAAAGTTATAACGGTACTGGGGAAAAAAATGACCCGTGACCGGTGGTTCACACAACTTGTCACAGCAATCCCCATAATCGCATGATCGTGATTCAGGTGCTCACCAGCGGGCCTGTGTTTACAACCGGTTGCAGCATCCTGGGGCCACGTGGTCGCCATTTGCAAGGACCCAAATTATTGGGGGAAATAGGCCGACTCTTTTAAACTGCTTGCAGAGGGCTTTAAAGCCCTGTGAAGCGGTATATAAGTCTTAAATCAGGGGTGTCAAACAGGTCGTCATAGTGATGTCACATTTTATTTATTTATTTATTTGTTTGTTTCAATTTCTATACTGCCCTTCTCCAAATAGGACTCAGGGCGGTGAACAGCCAAAGTAAAAAACAGGACATACAAAATTTAAAAACAGTTTAAAATAATTAAATATTTCGGCCGTAAATTAAAACAATCCAATTTAAAATCAATTTAAAATTTAACTCAAGCCAGCCCAGTTAGTTGAAATAAATAGGTCTTCAGGGCCCGACGAAAAATCCGGAGGTCTGTTATTGTACGTATCTCTGGGGGGAGGTTGTTCCAGAGGGTGGGCGCTGCCACAGAGAAGGCTCTCCCCCTGGGGGTCGCCAGCCGACATTGTCTGGCGGACGGCACCCTGAGGAGGCCCACTCTGTGCGAGCGTACTGGCCGGTGGGAGGCTATTGGTGGCAGAAGGCGGTCTCGTAAATATCCCGGCCCTAAGCCATGGAGCGCTTTAAAGGTGGTCACCAACACCTTGAAGCGCACCCGGAAGACCACCAGGAGCCAGTGCAGCTCGCGCAGGAGAGGTGTCGCATGGGAGCGCCTCGTCGTCCCCATAATGCCCCGCGCGGCCGCATTCTGGACCAGCTGGAGCCTCCGGGTGCACCCCAGGGGGAGCCCCATGTAGAGAGCGTTGCAGTAGTCCAGGCGGGAAGTGACGAGTGCTTGAGTGACTGTGCGTAGCGAGTCCCGACATGACGTAGTGGGACTTTCCCCCCCCCTTCACTAAATTGGGTGTAAGCGTGGCCAGCAGATGATGCATCTGGCCTGCTGACCGGGAGTTTGATAACCCTAGTCGAAGTACTCTTGCTGATTAGCTGTAGTGGCACCGTGGTTAGAACGAAGCATTGCAGGCAAACTGCCCGCTGCCAGCAGTTCGATCCTGACTGGCTCAAGGTTGACTCGACCTCCCATTCTTCTGAGGTCGGTAAAATGAGGACCCAGATTGTTGGGGGGGCAATGTGCTGACTCTGTAAACCGCTTAGAGAGGGCTGGAAAGCACTGTGAAGCGGTATATAAGTCTAAGCGCTATTGCTGTGGTTGATTGGATGTTGCATTAGGAGCCTTGGTGGCGCAGTGGTTTTAGTGTGGTTTTGGAGGCTGACTTCGCCCAGTCTGGAGTTCGATCCTGACTGGCTCAAGGTTGACTCAGCCTCCCATCTTTCCGAGACGGGTAAAATGAGGACCCAGATTGTTGGGGGGGCAAGAGGCTGACTCTGTAAACCGCTTAGAGAGGCTGTAAAAGCACTATGAAGCGATTGCTGTCCTTTCCTTCCTTCCTTCCTTCCTTCCTTCCTTCCTTCCTTCCTTCCACAGTGCACAGTGGTTAGAATGCAGCATTTCAGGCTAACTGCCCACTGCCAGCAGTTCGATCCTGACCAGCTCAAGGTTGACTCAGCCTCCCATCCTTCCGAGGTGAGTAAAATGAGGAGTCAGATTGTTGGGGGCCATAGGCTGACTCTGTAAATCGCTTAGAGAGGGCTGTAAAGCACTGTGAAGAAGTATATAAGTAAGTGCTCTTGCTGATTAGCTGTGGTGGTGTAGTGGTTAAATGAAGCATTGCAGGCAAACTCTGCCCACTGCCAGCAGTTCGATCCTGACTGGCTCAAGGTTGACTCAGCCTTCCATCCTTCCAAGGTCGGTAAAACGAGGACCCAGGTTGTTGGGGGACAAGATGCCGACTCTGTAAACTCCTTCGAGAAGGCTCTAAAACACTCTTTATAGAAGAGTGAAGCGGTGTAGAAGTGCTATTGCTATTGCTAGTCAAAAATTCTTTTGCACGTCTTATCGCTTCCATTTAACACATACAGCCAAACGTTGCAGGGCGAAAAGCTCACCTGCAACGTGGCAGCAGCACCTTATCTGGGACACTCTGTTCCATTTTTCCCTCCGCCTTGGGACCACGCAGGCATTAAAACCAAATTAACTTTTTGCAGAGTTGGGGCTTTTCCTCCCCCGCAGCTCCACTCATATCCTGCTCTTTTATTTTGGGACGGCATTGTTGGGCTCTCCAATTAAGATTCTTGGAGCAGATGAGCGTAAGAGAAAAAAAGAATCCGGAAATTACTCTCCTGCGAGGAAATGATGATAAAATATTTTTTTAATCGAATATTCAAATTGCAGCTACAGTGAGGAAGGAGGGAAGGTGCCTAGGTGCCTGTTTGAAGACAAAAAAAAAAAACAAAACAGCAACTTTCTACTGGCACCTGGACATCCTCCTGTCTCCTTTGAAGATCTTGTCTTCCTTTTGCTGGTTAATTTATCTCTCAGCATGTCCAAAATGCCATTGCCTCACCAGTAAGGAATTGCAGCCTAGTTAAAGAGAATACGGAAAACAGAATAACAAGAGTTGGAAGGGACTTTGGAGGTCTTCTAGTCCAAACTGCAGCTCAAGCAGAAGAACCCTATAACCATGATGGCGAACCTATGGCACGTGAGCCAGAGCTGGCACGCAGACCCCTCATTGTGGGCATGCGTGCCGTTGCCAGCTGGTCTTTGGGTTTCTGGCACATGCATGAGCACCGGCCAGCTGGTGTTCGTGGGCGCTGGAGCGCCAGAAGATGGCCTGAAAAGGGCCCCAAAAACAGTCAAAACCAGGACATTTTTCAGGCCGTTTTCAGGACATTTTTGGGTTGTTTTTTGCCCGAAAAACGGCCTCAAAAACAGCCTGAAAAATAGCCAAAAATGGCCTGAAAAACAGCCTGAAAACGGCCTGAAAAATAGCCACAGGTGGCACACGGAGCCATATCGGTGAGCACTCGAGCGCATGTGCGTGCCGGCCAGCTGATTTTTGGGCCTTCCGGGGCCACCAGAAGTCGGGAAACAGGCTATTTCCGGCCTCCGGAGGGTGGGGGTGGGGAAGGCCGTTTTCGCCCTTCCCAGGCTCCTAGAAAGGCTCTGGAGCCTGGGGAGGGTGAAAAACGGGACTTCCAGTCCCACCGGAAGTAGGCAAACAGGCCGTTTCTGGCCTCCGGAGGGATGGAGAGGGCTGTTTTCGCCCTCCCCAGGCTCCAAGAAAGCTTCTGGAGCCTGGGGAGGGCGAAAAATGGGCCTACTGGGCCCACCATGCCATCATGTGCCAAAAGCAGGAGTGCGGTGGGGGGCACACTGAATTATGGGTGTGGGCATGTGTGGGTGCGACCCCCCCCCCACGCTCCCCACGCTTTTTGCACACAACGGCAAAAAGGTTAGCCATCACTGTCCTATACCTTCACTGGTATCTAGGGGTATCAATTCTGGATGAAGGATTCACCTATTTGACATGTACCAGTCCTCGACTTACGGCCGCAGTTGAGCCCTTAAATCTCTTAAGTGAGACATTTGCTAAATGAGTTTTGCCCCATTTTACCACCTTCCCATGCCACTGTTGTTAAGCGAATCGCTGCTGTCGATTAGCTAGTCACCTGGTTGCTAAGTGAATCTGGCTTTCCCCCCATTGGGCTTTGCTTGCCAGAAGGCCGCAAAAGGGGAATCACATGAACCTGGGACGCTGTGACCATCCTAAATATGAAAGCATCTGGATTTTGATCACACGGTCATGGCGATGTTGGAAAGGTCGTAACTAGGAAAAATAGCCGCGAGTTACATATTTGTCAGTGCCGTCGTAACTTTGAACGGTCACTAAACAAACTGTTGTAAGTCAAGGACTGCCTGTACCCATTCCACAAACAGAAAAGACTTAACATTAAAGCCAAATACTAAGAATACAGATGAAAAACTAAGCGTGACGTGGGCCAGCCTCTTGTGTTGAACTCCGCTTTTAGAAACGGATCCCTTATGACAAAAGAGTTCCCCAACCTATCCACCTTTGCCGGTTGGCGGGGGTGGGTGGGTGGGGTAGAGGGGATGGGTCCGTGTGCGTGGCAGGCAGGCATGTATGCAGCTCCATTTGCACGAGCGGTGGGCATTCACATCCATCATGCAGTGGTGGGATTCAAATTTTTTTTACTACTGGTTCTGTGGGCGTGGCATGGCTTGGTGGGCGTGGCAGGGGAAGGATACTGTAAAATCCCCATTCCCTCCCCACTCCAGGGGTAAGGTTACTGCAAAATCCCCATTTCCTCCCGATCAGCTGGGATTTGGGAGGCAGAGAATAGATGGGGGCGGGGCCAGTCAGAGGTGGTATTTACTGGTTCTACTCAAAACTTCCGCTACCGGTTCTCCAGAACTGGTCAGAACCTGCCGAATACCACCTCTGCCACCCTGCATGCAAATGGAGCACATGAGCTTGCCCGCTAATGCCAGTGGGGATGTATGCCTGTGCCCGCCTGCCACTTCTGCAGCCTGGTTTCCAAGCGACTCGAGGCCCAGCAATGGGCTGCAGCCCAGGTGGTTGTGGGCCCCTGTTATATGGTCTCTGACGGAAAGCCACTTGAAGAGACGAGAAGCATTTGAAATGTGGATTGACAGGCGGCTGTTACATATAAACTGGGTTGACAAAATCAGAAAGCCAAGGGAAATCATCAAAACCATAAAAAAGCGAAAGTTAGAATATTTTGGACATGTGATGCGACACCCAGAAAAATACGGCATCCTTCACTTAATCCTCCAAGGGAAAGATGGAAGACAAACGAGGTCCAGGCAGAAGAAGAAGATCATGGCTTCAAAATCTAAGGGACCGGTTTGGATAAAACTCAACAGCCCTTTTTTCGTGCGGCTGTTGATAAAAATAGGATCGCCAACGTCCGATGATGGACATGGCAAAAGAAGAAGAGAAATATAGGGAAAACATGCTAACGGGGACTATGTAGCTGGTTTTCGCCAGCTACACCGTTGGCCATCAGTTCCATTCTAGATAATGCTCAGATGCTTTGAGTAAAGCTGCCTGGGGAACAGGGGCACAGGAAGATGGTAGTCCACCACCCTGTCCAGAAACCCAAAACGAGGTCAAGAGCAGATGTGCATCTGGAGGGCCATCAATCAGAAGCTTGGTTCTTTTGTAGATGGCCCTCAAGGTCGATAACGGGGGGGGGGGGGGGAAAAAGACAAGTTGACTCATTGGCTTGGCGCATTCCAACTTGGAAGGAAATCTGACGAAGCTTGGAAGCCTTCAAGACCAATATTTTCATCACAACTGTGACAGCTTTTCTAATCTTGGGTCTTGTGTATCTGCGGTGAATCTCTGGAATGTCTAGCTGAACCTGAATCATCTGTGAATAGTTGCCCTTGCAAATAGTAGTTGGGAACTGCATGTCAAGTTGCCTAGACCAAAGCAAGGAAACTAAAGCGCTAATTTGATCTAATGGTTAAGGCCATTAGAAACTGGGAGACAGTGATTTCTAGTCCTGCATTAGGCATGAAAAGCCAGCTAGGTGACTGAGCCAATCACCAGGAGACTAGGAGTTCTAATCTCGCTGTAGGCATGAAAGCCGGTTGGATGCCTCTGAGCCAATCACCAGGAGATAGTGAGTTCTAGTCCTGCCTTAGACACGAAAACTGGGTGACTTGGTGCCAATCACCAGGAGACAGTTCTAGTCCCGCCTTAGACACGAAAACTAACTGGGTGACTCGGCGCTAATCACCAGGAGATGGTGAGTTCTAGTCCCGCCTTAGACACAAAAACTACCTGGGTGACATGGCGCCAATCACGAGTTCTAGTCCCGCTTTAGACACAAAAACAACTGGGTGACTTGGCGCCAATCACCAGGAGACGGTAAATTCTAGTCCCATTTTAGGCATGAAAGCCAGTTGGAGGATATTGGGCCAGTCAGTGACTCTCAATCCAACTCATCTCCCATGGTTTTCGTTTGTGGAGAAAATGGGAGGAAGGAGGAGTGTTAGGTATGCTTGCCACCTTGAGTTACTTCTAAAAAGAAATGCAGGTGAGATATAAATAAATTAGCAAAATCTCCAGAGGAAAAGCCAGAACGAAATTAACCCTTGACTGAAACACACGTTGCGTTTTTGTAAAAAATAAAATGTTTATGCTAAGATCTGCTCTGGTATTCCACATAAGCCAGGGAGATATAAATCTGACCGAAACGAGACCAGGATCTGCCAGTCGCGTTTCTGTACGTACATCCAGTTGGCAGGAGAACCATTTTGCAAGAGAAAAGGAAAGGAATGTAGGCATGCCCTGCCAGAAAAACAGGGGGAGCAGGAAGAACAAACAGGTTGCTTCCAGGTGAAATCAGGTCTGTTCGCCCTCAGGTTGCTGACCAACCCTTGCATACAAGTCACGAGATTTCCTACCTGCCCTGCAAGGCTGTAATTTTGAGCAGTTTAAATTATTTTTAGTCACCTGGTGATGTAAATATCCCCTGGGGAGTTGGAAGAGCTGGCTGACACACAAGAGAAACAGTAGCGGTTACCTCTGCATGCGGGCAGAGAGAGAGAGGGAGAGAGAGAGAGAAACACAGAGAAGGAGAGGGAGAGAAAGAAAGAAACAGAGAGAAACAGAAACACAGAGAGAAAAAACGGAGAGAAATAGAGAGAAACGGAGACAGAGAAACCGACAGAAATGGAGAGAGAGTAACAGAGAGAGTAATGAAAAGAAACAGAAACCGAAAAAGAGAGAGAGCAACAGAGAGAAAAACAGAGAAACAAACAGTAACAGAGAGAATAACACAGAAACAGAATGGAGAGAAACACAGAAACAGAAAGAGAGAGAGCAACAGAGAGAGAAACAGAGTAACAGAGAATAACAGAGAGAAACAGAATGGAGAGAAACAGAAACAGAGAGCAATAGAGAAAAAAACAGAAACAAAGAGTAACAAAGAATAACAGAGAGAAACAGAAAATGGAGAGAAACACAGAAAGAGAGAGAGCAAAAGAGAGAAAAACAGAAACAGAGTAACAGAGAGAATAACAGAAACAGAATGGAGAGAAACAAACAGAGAGAGCAACAGAGAGAGAAAAACAGAGCAACAGTAAGAGTAACACAGAGAGAATAACACAGAGAGAAAGAGACAGAGGAGAGAGAGAGAAATTGGGGGGTGGGGGAGGAGTTGGTCCTGAGATACTGGCTGAAAAGGTTTAGGAGGAGATCCCTGAGAAAGATGAGTGTAGGTATGGTCAGTTGGGACCACATCACCTCTGCTGGTCTAAATGGCCATAGAGATGGTTTTACTATGGTCAACCATTGCTGATGGCCACCACCTTCATGAGGTCTTCAGGCTGTTGAATTTCGTCAACTCCATTGGGCAAGCCAACCGAGATATTTCCGGGTGATGGAAGTTATAGTCTCTGGCCCCGAAGCATTGTGCCCAAATGAACGATTGTGCCGTTCATCTTACAGGGAGACAGGGACAATTTTCAATCGGTAGACCAGCATGGAGGTTTGAAAGGGCCAAGAAATCCAATTTCTTTGCACGAGGAATGGTGGCAAGAGTTCCGACATAGAGAAGGTGTCACTTGGAGCTGCTAACCCAGGAATGTGGAGATGAAAACACTGGTGTCCAGGTTGAGGGTTGCGTGCCACCAGCGATCCGGAAAATACAGAATCTGGAAGGAAAGAGAGTGACTTCAGATGCAATGGCTTTGTAGACGATCTTTCCTTCCTTTCCTTCCCTCCCCCTTGTTTCCTTCCTCCTTCCTTCATTCCCTCACTCCCTCCCCCTTCCTTCCTTTCCTTTCCTTTCCTTCCCTCCCCCTTCCTTCTCCTCCCTCCCTTCCTCCTTCCTTCTTTCCCTCCCTCCCCCTTCCTTTCCTTCCCCCCTTCCTTCCTTTCCTTCCTTCCCTCCCTCTTCCTTCCTTCTTCCTCCCCCTTCCTTCTTTTCCTCCCTCCCCCTTCTCCTTTCCTTCCTTCCTTTCCTTCCCTCCCCCTCCTTTCCTTCTCCTTCCTTTCTTCCTTCCCTCCCTCTTCCTTCTTTCCTTCCTTCCTTTCCTTCCCTCCCCCTCCCTTCCTTCCTTCTTCCTTTCTTCCTCCCTAACTGTTGTATATAATGTTTTTAAATCTCAACAATAGAGCCTTGGTGGCTCCTTCCTTCCTTCCTTCCTTCCTTCCTTCCTTCCTTCCTTCCTTCCTTCCTTCCTCCGTCCCTCCCTCCCTCCCCTTTCCTTCCTTCTGTCCTTCCCTCCCCCTTCCTTCCTTCCTCCTTTCTTCCTCCCTCCTTCCTTCTTTCCCTCCCTCCCCCTTTCCTTCCCTCCCCCCGCTCCTTTCTTCCTTTCTTTTCTGCCTCAGGCTAATCCTCCTACTTGATGGGAACAAAACTACTTATCTGCAGAGCTCATGTCTTGTTCTAAGCCATTGTTTCTCAAAATTGCCAATTTTTAAGACGTGTGGACTTCAACTCCCAGAAATCCCCAGCAAGGGCAAGTTTAAGAAACCTTATTCTAAGCCAGTGATGCACAGCAGAGAGCCTGGGGTTCCAGCCAGCCCTGGAAAGCTTGGAATACAGGTATTCCTTGTCTTAATTTCCCTAATTGAGCCCACAATTTTGGTTTTAAGTTGTGATGGTTGTAATGACACATGACTGCGCCTGATTTTTATAACCTTTTCTTGCAGAGGTTGTAAAACAAATCCACTGTTTGCCACGGGGCAATGTTGGCGGGAAACCAGAAATAAATCCCAGTTTTTAACCAAAATGTCATAAATTGCGTTCGCATGAGTTTGGGGTGAATGGCCATATATGTGAGCCACTTTCCAGGTGCTCAGAAGGTGGTTATGTAACCGTGAAAGGGGCAGATATCAACACTTTGAATCCCTCTTTGTAAATTCCATTTTCAGAGTCCAAAACGGGGGTGAAATCCAGCAGGTTCTGGAGAACCGATAGTGGAAATTTTGAGTAGTTTGGAGAACCGGCAAATGCCACCTCTGGCTGGCCCCAGAGTGGGGTGGGAATGGGGATTTTGCAGTATCCTTCCCCCAGGAGTGGGGAGGGAATGGTGATTTTGCAGTATCCTTCCCCTGGAGTGGGGAAGGAATGGAGATTTTGCAATATACTTCTCCCCGGAGTGGGGAGGGAATGGAGATTTTGCAATATACTTCTCCCCGGAGTGGGGAGGGAATGGAGATTTTGCAGTATCCTTCCCCTGGAGTGGGGAAGGAATGGAGATTTTGCAATATCCTTCTCCCAGGAGTGGGGAGGGAATGGGGATTTTGCAGTATCCTTCCCCTGGAGTGGGGTGAAAATGGAGATTTTGCAGTATCCTTCCCCCAGGAGTGGGGAGGGAGTGGGGATTTTGCAGTATCCTTCCCCTGCCACGCCCACCAAGCGACGCCCACAGAACCGGTAGTAAAAAAATTTGAAACCCACCACTGGGGTCCATTTCTAACTTCAAAGGGTCCCTAAGCAATCATTCATAATTCGAGGACTTACTTATAAAAGCCCCAAATTATGATTGCTGAATCATAATTTTTCAAATGGTACAAAAAGGGAAAGCTTTTCCTACGCAATTGAAGAATCCTCTTCGATGCACCAAAATCTGAACCGCAGGCTGATGTTTGGGAACCTTCGTTTGTGTGCCTAAGGCGCTTGTGCGAATCCAGGTGACTGTGCCATGTTGGCTAAAACCACTGTTGAACCAATAGAGCTTGGCAGTGCTTTGTGCACTCTGCCTGGAAGCCTCATCTGTACACGGGGCGAAAGGGAAGCGTGCGCATACACACAGCCCTACAGCAACCTGCCTCTCCTGGATGGATGGTGCACTCCACCGGCTTCTCCCAGGGCGGCAAGGAAGGGTAAGTATCCAGGAACCAGGACAGGGTCGTCCTGTTGGGGTGGAACGCTGGCGTTTTCTCCGGAGGATACAGGAACCAGTGCTGGGCAGAGAGAGAGAGAGTTCAAGTCGTAAGGAACAAGCTTTATACCACTGCATGCAGGGGTGGGCTGCTGGGGGTTCGCGAGAACCTCTAGCTAAGATTCTATGCAGTTCAGAGAACCTCCAAATTCCACTCCTGGCTGGTGCCGCCCTCCCACCCCGCCCCTCCCAGGAGTCCCCCACATGGCCATTTTGGATGCAGGTAAATGCAGGGCGCACATGGAGGCTTGGAGAGGGCGAAAAACAGGCACCACGGTGGGGCGGGGGGTGTTTTTGCCCTTCCCAGGCTCCAGAGGTTTTTCTTGAGCCTCCAGGAGGGCGAAAATGGCCTCTCCAGGCTTCCGGTAGGCCTGTTTATTGCCCTCCCCGAGCCTCCGCGCACGCCCTACGCTTATCTGCATCCAAAACAGGCTGCGTGGGGACTCCTGTTAGGGGAGGGGTGGGCAGGGCCAGCCAGGAGTGGGATTCAGAGGTTCTCCGAACTGCACAGAATCTTAGCTACAAGTTCTCCCAAACCCCTGCGAATCCCCAGCAGCCCATCACTGAACGCCTTGTTGGTCCACTCACCTTCCTCCCAAATATGACCTCCGAAAAGCCAGGCCCGTGCCAATGAAATGGCACTCCGGAACCAGACCCTGAAAGAGATTGGAAAAAAAGAGAAAAAGGAGAAATTAAATCCAGATCAAGAATCGCATTGTTTCCTTATCCCAATGACCTGGAGCACAGTCCAGAATTCTCAACTGGGACAGAAGGATGCTTGAGAAAGGCAAAGCTCTTGGCAAAAAAAATTTGGACAAATATAAAAAAATGGATAGAAAAAATAATAGATCAACCAATTGAAAACATTCTTGTTAGGAATATTAACGAGAACATACACCAAAGAAATAAAATATCTGATTCCACATATCATAACTGCTGCATGAATAACATATGCACAAAATTGGAAATAGGAAAAAACTCCAACAGACGAAGAAGTGATAGAAAAAGTTTTAGAATGTGCCGAGATGGACAGATTAACAAAAGAAATTAAAAGAAAAAGAAGAGACAGATTATTATATAATTTGGAACAAATGGTATGAATGGGTCTTGAGTCTAGAAATAAAGAATAATAAATACAGGGAAGAAGTCAAAAGTATAAAATATGTATATAACAAATGTATAGAAATGTATAAAATTAAGTTTATCAGTGTTAGAAAATACAATGTAACCAAAGAAAAAGGGACAATGGAAAAAATGAAATAGTAAGAGAGATATAGGGAGGAAAGATACAAAACGGAAAGTAGACCATGAAGAAACATTGTTTTAAAAAAAGGAGATATTTATATGTTGTATGTTATGTGATTGTCATATTGCGTCATAATAAAATATTATTTTTAAAAAAGAGAGAGAGAGAGAAAGACAAAGCTCTCTGACCACACGATGGACATTCTGTATGAATAATCTTGGTGGATCCTAGGCTCAGCCCAAAGGTCATTGGCATGTGACTCGACCTTTGGAATCTGGTTCTTCATAGGAACCTACCTGAATCCAGAGCTGGCATTCAGCCGGTTCGGGCCTGAACTGGTAGCGGAAATCACGGGTGGGCCTGCCCACCAGCCCCGGCTCTATGCTACCTTATTTAGACACGTTTTTGAGGCCGGGTGCATGCGCGGAAGGCAGGCGTGCACACAAACCAGGCGCACAGTGAACCGGTAGTAACATAATGTGAAACCCACCGCTGCCCGAATCTAATATATTAGAACTGCTGGACAGAGCTATCCCATCAGCATCACGGACCTCTGTGACACTATAAAATTGTCACGTGACATATACTAACATGGGTGACTGAAGGCTGACCCTCCTGAGGACCCTTGGCCTTGAAGACACTGTGACTATGTTGGAGATATTGTACCTCTCAAGACCGGTTGCTAGGGAGGTGTAGTGTAGGAGATGACCTGGCTGAGACCGATGGAGGAGTCAAGTGCGTCATCAGTCTGAAGTCCTTCAGTGCCCACAAGTGATTTCAGTCCAGCCCATCTTGAGTTCTGTTCTTATCTACCGTATCACCAACTCACTTTGGCTGTTAGTAGTTCAGATTCTTCTATAGAGCTTTGGCGGACCATAAACCTACAGTATAGTCTTTTCAACTGTCTGGACCTCTGATTTCGTGCACTGGATAGCAATGGCAGAAGGGGAAGAGACGTCTCTGCTTCTAGCTAGCATCTGATTGGCCCTGGATGAAGATGGGCTTCGTGTGACCCAATGAACACCCAATGACCCCATTTTTAGTTTTTTGGCAGGAAATCCACAGACGATCCTTTTTTGGTGATAGTCTTGTATCTTTGGAACGAAGGAGACATACAGATTTGGCACTAAGAAGGACGCAAATTGTTGGGGGCAAGAGACTGACTCTAAACTGCTTAGAGAGGCTGTAAAGCACTGTGAAGCGGTATATAAGTCTAAGGGCTATTTCTATTGCCCTTCCTTCCTTCCTTCCTTCCTTCCTTCCTTCCTTCCATCCATCCATCCATCCATCCATCCATCCATCCATGGTGCACAGTGGTTAGAATGCAGTATTGCAGGCTGACTCTGCCAACTGCCAGGAGTTCGATCCTGACTGGCTCAAGGTTGACTCAGCCTTCCATCCTTCCGAAGTCGGTAAAATGAGGACTCAGATTGTTGGGGGGCAAGAGGCTGACTCTGTAAACTGCTCAAACAGGGCTGTAAAGCACTGTGAAGCGGTATATAAGTCTAAGGGCTATTGCTACCTGGTCCTAACAAAGCAGATGAAGCTACGAAGCCAACACTGTTGCCCCGTGAAGGTGTTAAAACATCTCCTAAAGATACCAGCTACTGACCCCCAATCCCAAAACTGTATGCTCCCGTGGTGCCTGGAATCCTGAAAGGTGGTGGGTTGTATTTCTTGAAGAGGGACCCCCATTCAGTGAAATTATTGTTTCCGAAGAAGTAGAGGGTTTCTGCAGGGAAGAAGGAAAGACAGAGAAGTTAGTCGTTTTTCCCAACAGATCCTTTGCTTTTCTTGGGTGCTGGAGGCCAAAACCAGGGACTAAATTGGGTTTTGGTCCCTTTGCACCTGCAACCTTCTTGTCTCAGTATCTTCAAGGGAAAAAAACATCTGGGAGAGAAGATCATTTGCAAGGGAGATAACTTTATCCATAATGAGCAGTGAAAATAACTGCAGTCGAAACAAAGATAAAGGAAATCTGAGTCCGGAGCAGAAATGTACTTTGTGAAAGCGTCTCAGACTTAGTTTATTTATTAGATTTCGATCCTATCTTTTAGGGACATGGTGGCTCAGTGGCTAAGACGCTGAGCTTGTCGATCGAAAGGTCGGCAGTTCAGCAGTTCGAATCCCTAGTGCCGCGTAACGGGGTGAGCTCCCGTTCCTTGTCCCAGCTTCTGCCAACCTAGCAGTTCGAAAGCAGGTAAAAAATGCAAGTAGGAAAATAGGGACCACCTTTGGTGGGAAGGGAACAGCGTTCCGTGCGCCTTTGGCATTGAGTCATGCCGGCCACATGACCACGGAGACGTCTTCAGACAGCGCTGGCTCTTCGGCTTTGAAACGGAGATGGCTTTGAACCGCCCCCTAGAGTTGGGAACGACTAGCACATATGTGCGAGGGGAACCTTTACCTTTATCCCATCTTTATTACTTTATAAATAATTCAAACCTACTATTGTTTCCTCCACCTATTTTCCGCCACAACAACAACCCTGTGAGGTCGGTTGGACTATGAGAGAATGATCGACCCAAAGTCACCCAGCAGGCTTTCATGCCTAAGGCAGGACTAGAAATCATGGTCTCCTAGTTTCTAGGCCAGCACCTTAACCACTATACAAAAATTGACTCTTGTTCTTCCAAAATTAAAGGGAAGGAAGGGGAAAGTGCATTCAGAGTTGCAAGATTTGTTACTGTAATCCTATCATAAAAAAGTAGTTTTCATATTCATAATTTTGGTATTCAGGTCTAGACTACAGTTAGTCCTCGACATACGACCACAATTGAGCCTAGAAGTCACTAAGTGAGACCTTTGTTAAGTGAATTGTACCCCATTTTACGACTTTTCTTGCCATTGTTGTTAAGTGAATCACTGCAGTTCTTAACTTAGTAACCCGGTTGTTAAGTGAACCTGGCTTCCACATTCCGCTTGTCGCAAAAGGGGATCACATGATCCCAGGAGCCTGTGCCCATCATAAATATGAGTCAGTTGTCAAGCATCTGAATTTTAATCACGGGATCACAGGGATGCTACAATGGTCGTAAGTATGAAAAACGGTCGTTAAGTCACTTTTTTCCAGTGCCGTTGTAACTTTGAACGGTAACTAAATGAACTGTTGTAAGTCGAGGACTATCTGTACTCTACCTGGAAGATCAGCTGATTCTGGTCTGTGGAATCCAGACTGAGTTTGGGTTGCCATGGATCAAGGAAGCACGAAGATCTGATTTATGCCGAGCAATAGTTACGTCCTACTCACCACTTCCTAGGGAAGCCGGATCCTGGGGTTCCAGCAAATGATCCACATAATCTTGGAAGGGTAGATCAACTGCATCAAAGGAACAGCCAGTAAGAACTCAAATGCTGTGCAATCTTTTAAGCCAACTTTTTGTACCACGCTCAGCAGAATAAGGATTGTTTTTTTTTTTTTAATGAGGGTGTTGTAGTAGATGACCAGACTGAGCCTGACGGTGGAGTCAAATGCACCATTAGTTTGGAATCGTTACGTTCCCACCAGAGACCTAAGTCCCACTGCCAGAAGAACTCAATGCATCTTCTGTCAAAGCTTTGCTGGTCTGACCATTCAACATTTTTTACTACTGGTTCTGTGGGTGTGGCTTGGTGGGAGTGGCCTGGCTTAGTGTGGGTGTGGCTTGGTGGGCGTGGCAGGGGAAGGATACTGCAAAATCCCCATTTCCTCCCGATCAGCTGGGACTCGGGAGGCAGAGAATAGATGAGGGCGGAGCCAGTCAGAGGTGGTATTTACTGGTTCCCCGAACTATTTGAATTTTCCACTACCGGTTCTCCAAAACTGGTCAGAACCTGCTGAATACCACCTCTGGTTCTGACCCAGCTCCCTAAACACGACAAACTCTCCGTAGTTGAAACAATTAGCGCCAGCAGCCCCGGCAAAAAGTTTCTCTCTCAACGCAGGCTAACATGTCTGTCCAGCCGGAAGTTGAATACTTATCTGCCACATCTATTCATCTCCGCCCCCTGTCTTTTATCCCCAGAGTTAGGGTGGGGCTTCATTAGCACTGGTGGCTCTTCCATCCCAAGGACAGGCTCATAGATTTCCACTGCTCTCCTCTCCCCTGCCTTCTGCACATCCGCACATCAAGCACTGGACCCAGCTGTTCCTCCTCTTCCTCATCAGCCACCTCCAGACCTGGCAGCTGTTGACTCTCCATCTGAGGACTGATGGACGGCCCAGGCTCCACCTCTGTCTCTGTCTCTGTCTCTGTCTCTGTCTCTGTCTCTGTCTCTGTCTCTCTCTCTCTCTGACAGCTCCATTCCCTCTTCCCCCTCAGAGCTCTCAGGTTGCCTTGATGCTGGCCCTGACTCCCACACCTCCTCTTCCTCCTCTGATTCGGCTGCTGGAGGGGCCGGCGGTCGACGGGCCACAACATGTGCAAACTTTTCACCCAACTTTTTGTACCACGCTCAGCAACAACACGGGCTATTTTTTATGAGGGTGTTGTAGGAGAAGACCAGGGGGAGGCTGAGGGTGGAGTCAAATACATCATTAGTTTGGAATCCTTACATTCCCACACGAGTGCTAAGTCCAGTCCCCCTTGAAGTCCATTGACTCTTATCTGGCGTAAATTCACTTTGACCATTAGCGGTTCAGATTGTTGCTTGTACATATCATGAAATAAACTTGCAGTAGCGGTAGAACTCGGCTTACGCCCCCAATTGAGCCCAAAGTTTCTGTTGCTAAGCGAGACCGCTGTTAAATGAATTCGCCCCATTTTACGGCCTTCCTTGCTACAGTTGTAAAGTGAATCACTACAGTTATTAAGTTAATAATAACTTGCGCATTCCTGCGGTGAACCGGTAGTAAAGTGGAACCCACCGCTGACACGACCCCAGGACACCGTAACCGTCATAAATATGAGTCATTTGTCAAACGGCTGAATTTTGATCACGTGACCCTGGGGGTGCTGCAACGGTCATAAGTGGGAAAAACGGTCATAAGTCACTTTTTCCAGTGCCATGGTAACATCTAACCGGTCACTAAATGAAAGTCGAGGGCTACTTTTGAACTCCATCCTAGTCTTTGATTTCTTGCATCTGACAGGTGTGTAAAATTGCACCTCTGTGTCTCAGCTCACTCTCACCTCGGCTTGGGGCACAATTGGGGAAGAAGTGTTTTTTCTCCATCCTCACCTTTGTGGTAAGAGTAGGTGTTGGCGGTACTGAGACGAACCACATGTTCTCCAAACTGGGCCAACAGCTGATCTTTGGTGCACTGAGCCTGGAATTCCTGTGGGCACAGAAGGGAATCAGCATGGAGAGCCACCTCCAATTTTTACACCCCACTCCCCCCCAAAATATTTTTTTTTCCTGACTGCAAAACAAGATTGCATTGGCCAGAGTCCATGTGAAATGGGGTAGTTGATCTCTGGGAATTACAGGCAGCAGTGAAATTTGGCCGGATCTATCCGGCTCGAGCGAGCCGGTACGGCCGGTGGCAGGAGGCTCCGCCCACCCACCGGGACGTCATTACATCCCATTTTTGACCCTCTGCACAGGTGCAGAAGAGGCGTGCGCGCTCACATTTCTGAACCGGTAGCAAAGGTAAGTGCATTTTACCGCTGATTATGGGTAATGTATTATTTATTTATTATTTTATTATTCATATTTCTATGCCGCCCACCCTCCAAGGACTCTGGGCGGCTTACACCAAAGACAGTATACTAAATAACATATTGCCCCCAACAATCTGGGTCCTCATTTTACCCACCTCGGAAGGATGGAAGGCTGAGTCAACCTTGAGCCGGTGAGATTTGATCCACTGATCTGCTGAACTAGCGGTCAGCTAAAGTGGCTGCAGTACTGCACTCTAACCACTGTGCCACCTCGGCTCCTTAATCCCTTAGGATTCCCATATCCCAAAGGTGCTTTTTTTCAAGAGGCAACTCGACTTTCTGGGTTTTTCTTGGAAGATGTTTCGCTCCTCATCTAAGAAGCTTCTTCCACTCTGACTGATTGGTGGAGAAGTCAGAGCTGAAGACATCAGAGCGGAAGAAGCTTCTTGGGTAAGAAGCAAAACGTCTTCCAAGAAAAATCCCACTCCTGGCTGGCCCCACCCACCCCTCCCCTCCGCTCCCAGGAGTCCCCACGCAGCCCATTTTGGATGCAGGTAAGTGCAGGGTGCGCATGGAGGCTCAGAGAGGGCAAAAAACGGGCCTACCAGATGTTCAGGAAGTTCAGCGTCCAGAGGGCCTCTGGAGCCTGGGGAGGCTGTTTTCACTCTCCCGGAGGTTCGAGAAAAGCCTCCGGAGCCTGGAGAGGGCAAAAACACACACACACCCCGCCATGGTGCAGGAGGCTGATTAGACCATGCCCACCATGGCCACGCCCACTCAGCAATTGGGCAGAGAATCCCTTGCTAAAAGTTTTGAAGCTCACCCCTCACTTTATGGCCATAATTGACCCTGGAATTAGGCATTAAATGGGTCAGCCCATAACGGACTCCATTTTGCAATTTTTTGCGGCAATCGTTAAGTGAACGTGGCAGAGGTGTTAAGCAAGCCCATTGTTTGCAATGAACGTTTTAAAAAATTTTTTTGCTGGAAAGTAAACACTGGCTTCCACCCAAAAAAATGTAAATCACACTCAGGTAAACTCAGGATGGTGGGTAATGATTCACTTAACAACCGCTTGACTTCTGATCCCAATTGTGGTTGCACGTCATGGATTATCTGTATTTATCGTTTGGTGTCAGTGGGTGTGTGGCAGAGCGATTCCCTCAGACAATTAGGGGGATTTAGAAAGTCGCTGTTAAGAAAACCACAAGATTGCATGGCGTGCAAATATAACCACCGTTGTTTCTACCCGTGCAATAAATTTCTCCCTTTGATCACACACAGAAATATTTATGGAGAGAGCCTGGGATCACAGTCAGGCTTGGCGAAGTGGCTTCACAGCTCCAGAGCAGGGGTGAAATGCTCCCGGTTCAGAACGGATCGCCTGATCCGGTAGCGATGGAGGCGGGTGGTTCGGAGAACCAGTAGCAAAAATCCCTACCTCCCCCCCATTGCCCAGCTGAGCCATGCAATCATCAGAGGCTTTTTTTTTAATTTTCAAAAGCATTTTTTCTACAACCTCTTTGGCTGAAAAAATGCTTTTAAAAGTTTAAAGAAAAAGCCTCTGATGATCGCGTGGCTCAGCTGGGATCATCAGAGGCTTTTAAAAGCATTTTTTCTACATTTTTCTACATTTTTATAAAAGGAAAAAAAGCCTCTGCCAATCATGCAATTCAGATGGGATCATCAGAGGCTTTAAAAGCATTTTTTTTTACAACCTCTTCAGCCGAAGAGGTTGTAGAAAAAATGGTTTTAAAAGTTTTTTTTTAAAAAAAAAGTTGGCCACGCCCACTCAGTCATATTACCCACCACCACCACCAAGCCACGCCCACAGAACCGGTAGTAACAAATTTTACATTTCACCACTGCCCCAGAGTGATCACTTGACTTTATTAATTCATGCCCAACACGAAGAGGGTCTCAAAAATTGAATGGCCGACAGAGATTAGGATAGCACTGGTTCTAACCTGGAACCAAGGAACAATTTCCTGACAGTGGGAACAATTAAACAATCGGTCGAATGGCTTGCCATTGTGGGTGCTCCATTGCTGGAGGTTTTTAAGAAGAGATTGGATAGCCACTTTGTCTGGAATGGTCTAGGGTCTCCTGCTCGAGCAGGGGGTTGGACTAGAAGACCTCCAAAATCCCTTTCAGCCCTTCGATTCTGTGATACCTTATCCGAATTTATAATGCAGGGGCACTCACGGTATTGTCAGTTAATCCCTGAAGAATGACTGGCCGAGAGAAGGCATACCTAGGAGGAGGTGGAGGAAGAGAGGTTGAGGAAGAGATGGAGGAGTTGGAGAAGGAGGAGGAGGAAGAAGAAGAGGAGGAGGAGGAGTTGGAGGAGGAGAAGAAGGAGGGGAGAGGAGGAGGAAGAAGAGAAAGAGAGGGGAGGAAGAGATGGAGGAGTTGGAGGAGGAGGGGAGAGGAAGAGGAGGAGGAAGAGGATGGAGGAGAAGAAGGAGGGGAGAGGAGGAGAAGGAAGAGGAGGAAGAGGAGGAGGAGGAGTTGGAAGAGGTGAAGAAGGAGGGGAGAGGAGGAAGGGAGGGGGAGTTGGAGGAGGAGAAGAAGGAGGGGGAGAGGAGGAGGAGGAAGGGAGGGGGAGTTGGAGGAGGAAAAGGAGGGGGAGAGGAGGAGGAAGAAGAGAAAGAGAGGGGAGGAAGAGATGGAGGAGTTGGAGAAGGAGGAGGAGGAAGAGAGGTGGAAGAGGAGGAGGAGGAGTTGGAGGAGGTGAAGAAGGAGGTGGAGAGGAGGAAGGGAGGAGGAGGAAGGGAGGGGGAGTTGGAGGAAGAGAAGAAGGAGGGGGAGAGGAGGAGGAAGAAGAGGAAGAGAGGGGGAGGAAGAGATGGAGGAGTTGGAGGAGAAGGAGGAAGAGGAAGGGAGGTGGAAGAGGAGGAGGAGGAGAAGGGGGAGGAGACGGAGGAGGAAGGGAGGGGGAGGAAGATGGGGGAGTAGTTGGAGGAGGAGGAGGAGGAGGAGGAGAAAGGGAGGAGGAAAAAAGAGACAAGGAGAAAGAGAAGATCATTGTAATAGCATTATGGATTACAACATAAAACGATAGGACAAAGGCTGTGAATTGTGAAAGCTTTTTCAGGGTGAGGAAAGCAAAGCCCCAGGAAAAACGGTGCTTTCCCCACTGATCTGCTGTGCTCTTTGAGATGAAGCTGCCTCCTGTGGATAATCGCTTAGCACCTTCCAAGAAGCAGACCTGTTATTTGTGGCACCGACTTTTCTACAATATGCTGCTCCTTTAATTTCTTCTCTCTCTTTTTTTTTAATCATTTGCATTGTATTTGCATTTGAAATCATTGGGCCGTACTGTTCCAACAACGCTTGCTTTCAAGGCGTCTGGTCTACCACGAAGGGCTGATGGAAAAGGCAGGGGAGAATTTCAAATGACTATTTATGCCTGACTCTTATTTTAAGAGTCATTTTATTTATGCCTGACTCTTATTTTAAGCCTAACCTGTGATGGAGAGAAATACTTTAAATAACTCAAGAGTTAAATAACTAGGAGATGGTGCATGGGACTCTAGCCAAAGATGGAGCTCTCTTGGTTTTTTTAAAAATTCCTTCTGGAATTAAAAATTAAAATTAAAAAAAAATCTGGAACCTGTGCCTGCTGCCCCCTCGTGGTGGAAATCGTGTGCAAGCTGGATCGTTTGCCATCTCTTAACTGTTGAATTTTTTATTATTATTTTATTTTTTGTCTTTTAATGACCCCCGTAATCCCTTGCATCAGGGTGGAGTCTGAGCAACTGAATGGAGCTGAGTGTTTGCTGGCTGGATGCCCTTCCTGTCACCAATGCGGAGTTCACAGCAGATATATTCTCATTGTGCCCAAAGACAGAAATATCTGCCTCTACCTAGGACAGGGGTCTGCAACCTTAAACACTCAAAAGACCCATTTGGACCCATTTTCCACAGAAAAGAAAACACCGGGAGCCACAAAACCTGGGTGGACGTGGCCAACTCGATGTCACTCACTTCCACCAGTCACATGATCCCCTAGCCACACCTACCCATCCGGTCATTAGGGCAGAGAACCGGTTGTTAAAAAACACTGGGAACCACAAAACCCTTTTGACATCTCTCTCTTACCCCTCCCTCCCTCCTTCCCTCCCCTTCTCTCTGTATCTCTCTGTCTCTACCCTGGCCACTTCTCCATCCCCTGCCATTGCCCTTACCAGGCGAGGTAAGGCGAGGAGTAACTGGGAGGCGAGGGCTAGGCCAGCCAGTGATGGATCACCTGACAGAGCCACAGCAGAGGGCCCAAAGAGCCACATGTGGCTCCAGAGCCGCAGGTTGCTGACACCCAACCTAGGATTGAACTCACAGCCTCCTGATTGTGAGGCGAGAGCTCTGCCTCTAGGCCACCCCACCACTCCCATCACTTAACTGTTGAATAAACTGTGCATAAGTGAGGGAGGAGTCCCTTCTCTCCACCGTACAGCTCCCGTCTTCTGACAACGCAGCGTGCCTCTTTGTCAGCCTGCAGGGACAAAAAAACAGGCTGGTGTTTCATCAGCAGGATACAAGATTTTTTTTTTTAAAGGTTTCATAAGTAGGAAACAGCTTACAGTCTAAGCTTTGTTCACAGCACAATTAACTCTACGGCTTCCGATTCTGGGAAGAAGCGCCCAGAATAGAATATAAAAATAAGGAAAAATAAACAACAATCCTCCAATATTGGAAGTGCCTTGCATGTAGAAATCTAGCATCCTACTGAGAAATGCAAAACCCCACCAGAAAAAGATATTGGAAAAATGTGATGTACCCCATCAGAGGAGGCTGTAATTCAAAAAAATTTTTGTACTGTGCCGAAATGGTTAGATTAACCTTTAAAATTAAAGATCAAGAAGATACAAACAACATATGGATTTAAAACCTGAACTGTTCCTATTGGATCTCTTACCAGAGAAATTTAGTAAAGAAAATATATATTTGATTATACATGTTATAACTGCAGCGAGGATAGTAAAGGATATTAAACAGAACCTACAGTAAAGAAACCCGATAGATTATGTGCAGAACAAATATCAAACTAGGAAGTATCAAATAGCTTTTCATTGAAAGTATTATATAAAAATAGAAATGTATGAATTTTGTGAAGATGAAAAATTATAAGGGGGTTTGAGGGGTTCAGGTTTTATAAAAAGGGGATTTTGATGGGATTATATTCTGTGGAAGTCAGGGGGGTAGGGTCAGGGGGGGTTGGGAGGGTTAGGGTGGGGAGTATGGGGTGGGTTGGGGGGAAAAAATGGGGTGAAAATGTAATTGTAAAACTTTTGCAATTAAAAAAAAAAAGAAACCCGATATTTAATTTTGCATATAATTACAGCTGCACAGTCCTGGAAAAACAAAAATGTACCAACAGAGGAAGAAATAAATAAGAAAATTCTGGACGATCCCAGCTGAGTTGCCTGATCGTCAGAGGCTTTTAAAAGCATTTTTTTTCTGCAACCTCTTAAGGTTGTAGAAAAAAATGCTTTTAAAAGTAAATAAATAAAGTTGGCCACGCCCACCCAGTCACATTACCCCCCCACCCAGCCACGCCCACAGAACTGGTAGTAACAAATTTTACATTTCACTACTGCTCTTTCTGTTTTTTCCTTGCTAGATGCCTACTTACCAGCCTCCGTCTGTTTCTAGCAATGTGAAACTCCCCGGGAACCAGAAGAACATGGAGAAGGATAGAAAAAGCAGGAGTTGGGCCTTGGTCTCCATTGATTGCAAGATTCTACAAAGCAAAATCCGTCTTTGGGTGATTCTCAGCAAAATACCTGGTTATCTTGAGAGAGGTAGAATGTTAGAAGATGATCGGGCATGGAAGACCAAATCTTCTGAAAAGAAGGAAAGAAAGAAAGAATATTAAAAGAAGCAGAAGACTGGAGACGCTGAACACTTGGAAATCTTCTAGTGCAGCATTTGTCATTAAGATGTGTAGACTTCAAAAGCTTCTGGCTGGAGAATTCTTGGAACTGAAGCAGAGGTGGGTTTCAGCAGGTACTGACCAGTTCTGGAGAACCGGTAGCAGAAATTTTGAGTAGTTCAGAGACCCGTTAGTAAAAATTCTGACTGGCCCCATCCCCATCTATTCTCTGCCTCCCAAGTCCCAGCTGATTGGGAAGAAATGGGGATTTTGTAGTATCCTTCCCCTGGAGTTGGGTGGGAATGGAGATTTTGCAGTATCCTTCTACGAGTGGGGAGGGAATGGGGATTTTGCAGTATCCTTCCCCTGGAGTGGGGAGGGAATGGGGATTTTGAAGTATCCTTCCCCTGGAGTGGAGAGGGAATGGGGATTTTGCAGTATCCTTCCCCTGGAGTGGGGAGGGAATGGGGATTTTGAAGTATCCTTCCCCTGGAGTGGGGTGGGAATGGGGATTTTGCAGTATCCTTCCCCTGGAGTGAGGTGGGAATGGGGATTTTGCAGTATCCTTCCCCTGGAGTCGGGTGGGAATGAAGGTTTTGCAGTATCCTTCCCCTGAAGTGGGGTGGGAATGGAGATTTTACAGTATCCTTTCGCTGGAGTGAGGTGGGAATGGAGATTTTACAGTATCCTTCCCCTGCCACGCCCACCAAGCCATGCCCACCAAGCCACACCCACAGAACCAGTAGTAAAAAATTTTGAAACCCACCACTGAACTGAAGTTCTTAAGAAACACCGTTTGACTGAGGATGTAACCTAGTTTGGTCATGAAACATCTGCAAAAAAAGCCACCCAGCTCGGAAAGCACCAAGGGTCCCCAATCTCCATTTTGACCCTACAGTCAGGGTGAGAGATGAAAGGAACGGGTGTCTAAAAAAAGCCTCAATCTCTGTTGATTGAGGATCACCTCAAATGGACACCCCTACAATGCCACAGAATTCCTTGTAGGATCAACTGAAATTGTACAGTAGAAGAAATGAGGGTAATGAAGTTGGGTAGTGAAACCTTTGCAAGAAAACAACCAAGCTCAGAGACCCCCAAGGACCCTCACAGTCCTCCTCCTACACCACTCTAAAATCCCACCCCACCCCAGCACTGATGCTGTACCGTAGTTAAGCATTGAAACATCTGCAAGAAAACCACCAAGCTCAGATTGCGTTAAGGACCTGGCAGCCCAGCCAGGCATGAAAAGCAGAATTTTGGCTGAATCGAATCAATGAGTTTTTCTTTCATATTTCCTCAATCTGGTCTCCATTATGAGCTCTTGCTAGCTAACTAAGGAGAACTGACCCAAAACTTTAAGACAGGCATCAGATTCCCTATGAAGAACTTTTGCAGGAACTGAATATGTCTAGTTTGATGAAAAGAAGGACTAGAGGTGACATGATAGCAACGTTCTGATATCTCAGGGGTTGCCACGAAGAAGAGGGAGTCAAACTATTCTCCAAAGCACCTGAGGGCAGGACAAGAAGCAATGGATGGAAACTAATCAAGGAGAGAAGCAACTTAGAACTAAGGAGAAATTTCCTGACAGTCAGAACAATTAATCAGTGGAACGACTTGCCACCAGAAGTTGTGAATGCTCCAACACTGGAAGTTTTTAAGAAGATGTTGGATAACCATTTGTCTGAAGTGGTGTAGGGTTTCCTGCCTAAGCAGGGGGTTGGACTAGAAGACCTCCAAGGTCCCTTCCAACTCTGAAGACATTTCGTTTCAAAGAAGAGGGCTGTCTGGTAATGTTGTACTACTAACTAGAGCATACAAAACAGTTGCTAGACCAATTGTTGAATACAGCTCATCTGTCTGAAACCCGCACTGCATATCGGACATAAATACTATCAAGACAGTCCAGAGATATTTTACCAGAAGAGTCCTCCATTCCTCTAACCACAATAAAATACCTTATGCCACCAGACTCCAAATTTTGGCCTTAGACAACTTAGAACTACGCCGACTTCAGTCTGACCTAAGCATAGTACATAAAATTATCTGCCACAATGTCCTTCCTGTCAGTGACTACTTCAGCTTCAACCGCAATAATACACAAGCAAATAATAGATACAAACTCAAGGTAAACTGCTCCAAACTCGATTGCAGAAAATACGACTTCAGCAACAGAGTGGTCAATGCCTGGAATGCACTACCTGACTCTGTGGCTTCTTCCCCAAACCCCCAAAACTTTAACCTTAAACTGTCTACTGTTGACCTCACCCCATTCCTAAGAGGTCTGTAAGGGGCGTGCATAAGCGCACCAGCGTGCCTTCCGTCCCTGTCCTAATATTCCTTTTTACTCTTACTCTTTTCATGTATTCAAATTATGTTTATACACCCATTATCTTATCTATGCCTGACAAATAAACTTATGATTATGATTATGAATCAAGCTATTCTCCAAAGCACCTGAGGGCAGGACAAGAAGCAACGGGTGGAAACTCATCAAGGAGAGAAGCAACTGAGAACTAAGGAGAAATTTCTTGACAGTGAGAACAATGAATCAGTGGAACGACTTGCCACCAGAAGTTGTGAATGCTCCAACACTGGAAGTTTTTAAGAAGAGATTGGATAACCATTTGTCTGAAGTGGTGTAGGGTTTCTTACCTAAGCAGGGGGTTGGACTAGAAGACCTCCAGGGTCCCTTCCAACTCTGTTATTCTAATTCCATCCAAGAAGCTTCTTCAGCTCTGATGATAGGGTACTACCGGTATTACCATCCAGCGCCCCTTCAATACGAAAGGTGCGCTCCGCTTAAGATCTCTGGCTCTTAAATTCGGATCGGATCCCGGGATGGAAAGCGATCCGGAGCCCCGCCCGATCCCTGGCCGCTTTCCGCGCCTGAGATCCATGCAGCCCTCCCATCCTCCAAAGCCCCCCCCCATCCTCCTCCCTTTTTAAAATTAAAAAAAAAATTTTTTTTTTTGCATCCCTTCTTTTTTACCTCTTCGGTGTCAATGCTAGGATCGTTGGATCTCCGAGACATCGAAAAGTCCCTAGGAGGGAGCCAGCGCCCCCAAACCCCCCCACCCCCGCTTCTCTGCCCCTTTGCATTCTGGGTGTTGCAGTCCAGGCGTTGCCAAGGGACTCCATGGGAAGCCCAAGACAACTTTACTTTTCCAACTTTTTTTTTTAAAGGGTCTCTAAAACCCGTCTGCTTTGCCATTTTTTAATCCCTTTATTTTTTTTTTAAATGCATTTTTTTAAGGGGGAGAGGCGCCCATGCCGGTAGCCCAGGGATGATGGATGGACTACAACCCCCAGCAGGCATCGCATGGAGCAGGGTGGGGGGAGAAGGACGAGTCCTCTTGCGATTGGATAAGAGACGTGGAAACTACGTTACCCAAAAGGCATCGCGAATGAAAAGGACTCCTTGGCTGTTGGATGGGGGGGCGGGTTTCTTTCTTCGGTGTCTTGGCAACCAAAAATGTGGGGTGGGGGGAATTCCTGCATTCCGACGTGCGCCTCCAAGATCGGGCAATTCTGGCATTTACACGTGCATCAAATTTAGTGATTGCATTTTTTTTTATTAGAATTTGTCAAACGAAAACGAGAACAAGAAATAAAAGAAAAATACAACGAGAGGGACGATGGGCACGTGAGTGCATTTATGCACGACCCATATTCCGACGTTCATTGGAGATTTAGCCATTCCCGCATTGGGACCCGCCCCGGGGATCTAACAAGCAAATGCATTCTCGCCGTTGCAATTGCTGTGTTATTTGGATCTGCATCGGTAGATCTAGCAGTTCCATATTCAGACGTTTTAGCATTCTCGCGTTTAGATGCGTGCCCCTGCTTAGCCACTCAGAAGGCGGGACACAGCCATCGCTGCAGCTGGAATACCAAAACCCCAGGACGCCCCTACCTGCATCTGTGTTGCCCGATGTGTGAATGAATTTAATCCAATCCAAGGTTCTGCCTGCTATGATTTATGCATGCAAAGCAAAACTGACTTGCAATAGTTTTTTTCCTCCTTTAACAGCTCTAACATTCTGAACTTTATACCGAGATATTTGCCCGGCATCAGTCTTTATTTCTCCATCTCTTTTATTTGCTTCAGAAGGTTTTCTTGCTTACCTTATGCTTATAAAGAACTCAAGGTGATGAACACACCTTCCTCCTCCTGTTTTCCCCACAGCAACAACCTTGTGAGGTGGGTTGAGCAGAGAGAGAGAGAGAGACTGATCGAAAGCCATCCATCCAGCTTTCAGGACTAAGCAGCACTAGAACTCACAGTCTCCTGGCAATTGGCCCAAAGTCACCCAGCCGGCTTTCATGCCTAAGGCAGTACTAGAACTCACCATCTCCTGGCGATTGGTCCAAAGTCACCTAGCTGGCTTTCAAGGCTAAGGTGGGACTAGAACTCACAGTCTCCTGGTTTCTAACCTGGTACCTTAACCACTAGACCAAACTGTCTCTCTAAATTAGCCAACAATGAAAAACGCTGCTTTCCCCCCTCCAATAAGGACTAGCCTCTTCGTTTATTTAGGAAGGAAGAAAAGAGGCCAATTTACTTGTGCATCTAGTTCTTGCTTAGAGGGCTTTATTAGTCAAGGAGTGATTTTTTTTTTTCACACTGGGAGTGTGCTAGTGGAGGACGAATATTTGACCTCGTCTCTCTGGGATGACCCCACATAGTTGTCCCGCCTGGCAGCGTACTCCCCGACATTAGGCAGTCCCGGGACCACGCAGCAGCTCAGCGCACTGCGGTAGATGCTCATGTCATGGGCATCATACCACTCGTCCGTCTTCTCGTCGTAACACTCGACGTTGAAGGTGGTGGTGAAGCCGTTGAAACCGCCCACCACAAAGAGCAGGTCGTCCACCACTTCGATGCCGAAGTTGCTCCGAGGGTTGAACATGGTCGGGATCGTGCGCCAGGTGTTGGCAATCGGGTTGTACGCCTCGGCGCTCCGCAGGCGGTTGGCGCCGTCAAAACCGCCTACCTGCAGACGGCAAGAATCAAACCAAGGAACAATTTAAGGGAAAGGGCGGCTTGGCCCTGTGGCAGATGATTGGTGGATGGAGAAAATCCAAAATTTAGAATTAGAATTAGAATTGAGCTGGAAGGGACCTTAGAGGTCTTCTAGTCCAACCCCCTGCTCAAGCAGGAGAACCTATACCATTTTAGACAAGTGGCTGTCCAGTCTCTTCTTAAAAACCTCCAGTGATGGAGCGCCCACGATTTCTGGAGGCCAGCTGTTCCACTGGTCAATTGTCCTCCCTGTTAGGAAGTTTCTCCTTATTTCTAGGGTGCTTCTCTCCTTGATTAGTTTCCACCCATTATTTCTTGTCCCGCAGGGCCCCCCTAGAAACAGCAAAGAACCGGCCTGCGGTGCCTCTGCCAGCAAAAACGCAGCTTCACTTGGCTCTCCCAGGCTCCGTTTTCAGCCGTGACGGCCTCCTGCCACCCTCTACCAGCAAAAATGGCAGAGGGCGGCAGGAGGCCGTCGTGGCTGAAAATGGAGCTTGGGAGCCTGTTTCCACTGGCAAAGCGCTCAGGCCACCACAGACGCCCCCGACACGAGTGACGTCAAAGTGGCCACGCCCACCCCGGCCCCCGAGATCAAACACAACCCTGATGCGGCCCTCAATGAAATCGAGTTTGATACCCTGACTAGATGGCTCAGTGGCTAAGACACTGAGCTTGTCGATCAGAAAGGTTGGCAGTTCGAATCCCTAGTATAGGACTCCTGCGTGAGCAGGGGCAGTGGTGGGTTCCACCCGGTTCCGCCGAGCCGGTAGCGGTGACGATATGATGTCACCGAACCGGTTCTGCCCCCCACCCACCCTGCTCCTCCCCCCGTGTTATTCTTACCTTTTATTTGGCCCCACCCCCAATCTATTGCTGCCTCCTGAGTCCCAGCTGATTGGCTAAGAGGAAAAAAACTGTTTAAACTCTTGCCTCGGGGCTTCAAAGGGCCACCCTACAGCTGATCAGTGTTAAAAGGCAGTGATAGACCAATGCCTCCAAAAACAAATGAGTAGACCGGTGCCTGCAAAAATAAATGGGTAGACCAGTGCCTTCCAAAATACATGAGTAGACCAGTGCCTCCAAAAACAAATGAGTAGACCAGTACAGCTCTGCAAGCAGTTAAAAGCCTAGTAGACCAGTACCTCTGCTAAATCCTAAAGAATTGTCACATGACCATCAAACCCCGCCCACAAAATAAGCCACACCCACAAAAAAAGCCACACCCGCAGAACCGGTAGTAAAAAAATTTAGAACCCACCCCTGAGCAGGGGGTTGGACGAGATGGCTTCCAAGAGTCCCTTCCAACTCTGTTACTCTTATCCCTGATCTAGAAGTTGTTTCCCAACTGTTCTAGAGGGCCAGGGATTGGAGAAAGCTGCCGTAAACTGAGCGAAGGGACATGGTTCTAGCAAGCATGACTGAAGGATGCTGGGGGCTCGCCTGCCATTTCCAGCCCAAGAGGACCCCAGCCTTACCGCGTAGACGTGTTCTCCGTACGCAATCACGCCGATCCCGCTGCGCCTGCTTCGCATGGGAGCAATCAAGCTCCACTGATCCACCTTGGCATCGTAGACCTCCGCCGTGAAGAGACACTCGTTGCCATTGAAACCACCGCAAATGTAAACCTTGTAGTTGCAAAAAAAAGGGGGGGGGAAACGAAGAAGCGGAGAGTGACTTAGACGCATGCTAGCATGGAGAATGTTGGAAAGGTATTAATCATATGCATCGTGACACTGAAAAGGTCGGAAGAGTGAATGTAAAGTGTAGAACCTGGAAAGAACTGGTGTTCTGCCCCAGCTACGGACCCCAAAGAACGCCGCACACAGAAACTCTATACAAAACTTATTTACTCAAAATAACTTAGTCTTTATCATTCAAAGGCTGTTAATGAACTGTCTTAACAGCCTACCAGAATTCTAAGATAAGGTAATCAGTCTTACTAGAGTTGGCAGAAAGCCCAGAAGCAGTTTTGCAGACATGAAAGAGAGTGAACTAAAGTTGTTCTCTACAGCTTGTTGCAAGCGGTGTTCTTTCTTAAATAGGCTATGGGAGTGGCCAATTAGCCCCAAGCCTTACTCTCGAGGAGACCTCCTCCTGAGGAGCCACTCCTGCCTTTTGGCAGCTCTGCGTGCCCGTGCATTGATAAGAGGCTCCTCCTCTTCGTCCTCTTCACTTAAAGGAGCTCCTGGAGGTTCTGAAGGCCCTGGCTGAATCCCCGCACCACATCTTCTCCAGCCTCCTCACTGTCCGACTTGAGTGCCAGCTGCACAGGCTGCTGGCGCAGCACCACACCAGCCTCCTCGTTGTCGGAATAAGCTACAATCCGCACAGGCCGCTGGCGGGCCACAACAACTGGTGTTTATAATGCAGTGTAGAAAGTTAGCACCCACCCCTCTCCTAAAAGAATGAAATATATTTTGATAAATATTAAAAAGAATATTATATTTTCCTTGATGAATAGTTTTTCATTTTTAGAGGGAGAAAGCAGCCCCCACCTTTCCTTAATAGCCCACAGCAGATGTCAAGAGATAGATAGCTCTATTCCTAGGCAAAGCAAATGAATACTGCAGGCAGAAATCCATTCAAGACAGGAGATTTTTTTGAAATTCCCTGCAGCCAAAGTCTGAACGAAGGCAGAGTGATAGGATTAGCCCTCATTCAAGATCCAAACCAGGACAAAAGCCATTAAGCCGTAATAGGAATTGCCCAACACCTTTTCAGAACATCGAGCCTCTTCGTTGTATCATCTCAGCAATCCAAACATCAATCAAATCTGGGAGCTCAGGCAACCTATAGAGCCAGCTATAACCCTTACAGCAGCCAATAGAATACATGTTCTTGCACAGGAACAGGAAGCTCAAGTGCAAAGCCCAAGAGAAGGTATAAAATCCCCCCACTCTCAACTCCAGTTACACCAGCGAACTGTGTGCTTGGTGGCTCTGTTCTTCCTTAAACCCTCTTTCCAATCAGCCTCCATGTTTCCGGCGTCTTTCTCCCGGCTTGGAACTGAACCATAGCAGCTTATCTCTGTGCTGTTGGCTTGTTCTACAGCATGAACTTGAGCCCATTCTACAACACGATTAACACTGGGTACTCTTTAACCCTTACTCTATAGGAGCATCTATGCTTGTTTTAGTACATAACTCAAATCATGGTTTTCTTCTTTGTCCCGAGTGGAGCAAGGCTCTCATAAGGCAATGGAAAGTCCACGATGCCTGGAATTCAGTACCAAAAAGATACTTCAGACATCCCAGGAGTGTGAACTGAGCCTTGTCTGCAGCTCTTTAAAGCAACTGCATCTTTCCCTGGGATAGCATAGCTGCTGTCAACCCTGAAGCTGGCCTGACTGAGGCCATTTTGAGACTTCAGAGCTGACACACCAGGGAGGAGGGATAGGGAGGGAGGGAAATAGAGATAGTTGGGGTGTTGTAGCAGTGGTGAGTTGCCCCCGATTCGGACCAGTTCGCAAGAACCGGTAGTAAAACCGGTGGGAGGCTCCACCCACTGACCCGGACATCATCAGAAGTGATCTGCGCATGTGCAGAAAAATGCGTGCAGGGGCAAGCACAATCACAAACCACGATGGTAGCAGATCCATCCAACGATGATAGCTCAATGAATAGCAACTCCACACACTATGGTAGCTTATCATCAACTGAATACGTTACAGTACCTTTCTTAAATATGTTCACAACTAATTACAGCATGACTCAGCATTACAATGAATCAGCAGGAAAACGTCAAAGTCACACAATACATATTCATATTAAAGTCACAGAACACATATATTGCCTAGACAACTTGTTAGGCTCAAACCATATCCTAACACAAGCGAAGCAAGCACGCGCACGGGGGCACAATGCGAACCGGTAGTAAAGGTAAGTAGAACCCACCCCTGTGTTGTAGCCAAAACAAAATGCTTTCTCGTGGGAACCAAGGACATTCCTGCAGGTGCTCGGAAGGAGGGGCCTGGAGTCACCTAGCAACTGGACAGCATCCTGATTGGACTACCATGTGGCTGGTTGTTTTGAGAAAGTGAAAAACTTTCACTTTTAATCAGGGGAAAACCGCGGGAATATTCAGAGTTGGTTTTCACCAGCCTGTGCCAAAATGATATATCCGATAAACCTATTCTTTGATGAATTTGCCCACCTCAGGGTTTTGTTTGCTGTGGGTATGTTACTTGGAACCCTAACATGATTCGATGCCAAAGGCGCACAGAACACTGTTATCTTCCCACCAAAAGTGGTCCCTATTTTTTTACTTGCATTTTTTACGTGCTTTCGAACGGCTAGGTTGTCAGAAGCTGGGACAAGTAACAGGAGCTCACCCCATTACGCGGCACTAGGGATTCGAACCGCTGAACTGCTGACCTCTCGATCGACAAGCTCAGTGTCTTACCCACCAAGCTACCGCGTCCCTCTTCTTCTTGAGCATATCTCGGTTCAATTTGTTCCTCCCTTCTTTTCTTTCTGTCTTCCAAAATAAATCCGTAATGTTTGCCCTAACAGCAGCTTTGGGAAATGTACAAGGATAAGAAATGTGGAGAAAGAAATACGTTTTTTTTTTTCTGAGCCAAGAACCACTGTTGATCTTTAAGTGGCACACTCCAAAATCAAAAGTGGTGCAACAAACACGAATGCCATGGAGTGGCCCTGACTTTAAAGTTGAATGAAGGTTAAAATGCAAGTTTAACCTGATTCTCCAGTACAGATAATCCTCAATCTACAACCGTTTCTTTCTCAAGCATTCAAGATTATAATGGTACTGACCAAAGGGGCTTGCGACATGTCCTTGCATTTTGCAACCTCCCCACATTGCACCTTCTCATAGTTCACTTGATTGAAATTCAGACCCTTGGCAACTGGTTTGCGCTGGAGGCTTTTAAGAAGAGACTGGACAGCCAAATTGTATAGGCTTAGGGCTGTGATGGCGAACCTATGGCATGCGTGCCACAGGTGGCACGCGGAGTCATGTTGTCTGGCACACCAGCTCAGCTCCGTCAGCTGATTTTTGGCCCTTTTGGGCCCAGCAGAAGAGGGCCTGGGAGGGGGGAAGGCCCCCTTTTCTTTCTCCCTGGCTCCAGATCCTCTCTATGCATCTGGGGAGGGCGAAAACAGCCTTCCCCACCCCTTTGGAGGCCCGAAACAGTCCGTTTCTCAACTTCCAGCCTCCGAGGGGTGGGGAAGGCTGTTTTCGCCCTCCCCAGATGCATAGAGAGGATCTGGAGCCAGGTGAGAAAGAAAAACGGGCCTACCGGGCCATCTCGTGCCAGGAGTGGGGGGTAAGTGGGGTTGTGCTCACATGTGCGTGGTGGGGCACATAGAATTATGTGTTGGGGACACGCACAGGCAAACCTCCCCCGCCCCCCCTTCCTGGCATGCGATGGCAAAAAGGTTAGCCATCATTGGCCTAGGGCTTCCTGCTTGAGCAGGAATTGGACTAGAAGATCTCCAAGGTCCCTTCTAACTCTATTCTGATTGATTGATCAATGGTTCAAAGCATCCCAGGATCAAGTGATTGCCATTTCTGACATTCCCAGCTGATCTCCGACAAGCAGTCGAAAGAGAAAGCTGGATTCACTTAACTATATAGCAGGATTCATTTTACAACTGCAATGATTCATTTAACAGCCATAGCAAAAAAAAAAAAAGTAGCAAAATCGGGCACAACTCACTTAACAAAAAACTTGCTTAGCAACAAAAATTCTGCCCCCAGTTGTGATTGTAAATCGAGGACGATCTGTATTAAAAAGAAACCAGGGGTGAAATCCAGCAGGTTCTGACAGGTTCTGGAGAACCGGTAACGGAAATTTCGAGTAGTTCAGAGAACCAGCAAATGCCACCTCTGGCTGGTCCCAGAATGGGGTGGGAATGGGGATTTTGCAATATCCTTTCCCTGGAGTGGGGTGGGAATGGGAGATTTTGCAGGATCCTTCCCCTACCATGCCCACCAAGCCATCCCCACAGAACTGGTAATAAAAAAATGTGGATTTCACCCCTGAAAGAAACCAAGGGTGGGGATTGGTCTTGGGCAAAGGGACTCTTACGTTTTTATTTTCAGAGAGGGAAAGATCCAAGGCATGGAGTGATGCGGTGGCCTAAAGGTGGAGCTCTCACCTCACAATCAGGAGGCTATGAGTTTGATCCTAGGTAGAGGCAGATATTTCACGCTCTGGGCACTGTGAGAATATATCTGCTGGAAAAAACTCCACACTGGTGACAAGAAGGGCATCTGGCCAGGAAACACTCGGCTCCATTTAGTTGCCCAGACTCTACCCCACAAGGGATTATGGGGTCATTTAAAGAAGAAGAAGAAAAAGATGATGATGATGAAAGATCCAAGGCATGAGCGTGCGAAGGACCTGGCGACTGTATTCACTGCCAGAAAATTCTGCACGATAATTACCTTTCCGTAGAGTGTCGTGGCACTCGCGTCGCTCCTCTGCTCGTGCATGGGAGCGATTAATGTCCACTGGTTGGTCTCGGGCTCGTACCTCTCTGCCGTGTTGAGGCGCACGTAGCCGTCAAAGCCACCCATGGCATAGATGAAGTTATCAAGGACAGTGACGCTAACGTAGCAGCGCCTGGAGTGCATCGGGGCCACCTGGTGCCAGGTCTTTTTGATGGGCTCAAACCGCTTGACGCTGTTGAAATAGTCCACGCTGTCAAAGCCGCCAATGATGTAGACGTAGCCCTTCAGGTAGGCAGCGCCGTGATATGCCCGGGGACTCTCCTGCTGGCAAGTCACGTTCACCCAACGATCCGCCCGGGCGTCGTACGTCTCAATCGCATTGGTTGGGCTCCCTCCGCTCCAGCCGCCAATGGCGAATAGGATGGCGTAAGGGAGCCGGGGTCTCGTCAGCGGATTGGTGAAGTCGGAACTCGAAGGGCCGTTCATGTTCAGGTCGTACATGGCTTTGAGGGCATCGATCACGATGGGCTTGCACTCCTCGCTGTCCTTCACGTAATCGTGCATTTTGACGTTGTTCATGAAATACTCCGCGTGCATCAAGGCCAGGCGGACCTTCAAAGACAAGGAGGAGGGTTGAGAGGATGGTGGATGTTTTCAAGAAGACAGTTGGGTTGGTGAAGATTCTCCATCATCCAGAGAAAGCTGTCTGAAGGTCCAGCCATGGGCAACTGGAACTAACGAAAATAAGTCCTGCTGCCATGGCTCAACTTTCCGACAACTGGATGATTGAGCATCTTTACGATTAAGAGCCCTGGTGGCGCAGTGGTTAGGATGCAATATTGCAGGCTGACTCTGCCCACTGCCAGCAGTTTGATCCTGACCGGCTCAAGATTGACTCAGCCTTCCATCCTTCCGAGGTGGGTAAAATGAGGACTCAGATTGTTGGGGGCAAGAGGCTGACTCTGTAAACCGCTTAGAGAGGGCTGGAAAGCATTGTGAAGTGGTATATAAGTCTAAGTGCTATTGGTATCTTCCTCAACCTATTGCAACAGACTTTGGGAAGGAAACCCCTGAGGTTGGTGCGAGAGGATTGGTACATTCCAACGACTCTCTGCCTTATTAATTTCCTCAGATTAATGAAGCGGCTTTCATGAGCAGGGAAATGTCTCAAGCTAAATAAAATAAGCCCAGTTGCCATTACTCACCTTCAGTCAAGAAGCAGGGCATCTGCAGGGAGACTCAAATATGTCAAGAAGGTGCCCACAATTCTATGATCTTATTATTCATAAGAGCTGAATGCAACAAAATTTCGTTTGAATGTATGCTGATTAGTGTACATTTAAAGTGGCAATAAAGATTTCTATTCTATTCTATTCTATTCTATTCTATTCTATTCTATTCTATTCTATTCTATTCTATTCTATTCTATTCCATTCTATTCCATTCCATTCCATTCCATTCCACTCTTCATTCGAACATCTATTCTTCTATTGTATTGTATTGTATTGTATTGTATTGTATTGTATTGTATTGTATTGTATTGTATTGTATTGTATTCTATTCTATTCTATTCTATTCTATTCTATTCTATTCTATTCTATTCTATTCTATTCTATTCTTTATTGAACTATGAACTATAATATCAACTATTGAACTCTGGTGCTGGAGAAGACTCCTGCGAGGCCCTTGGACTGCAAGGCGATCCAACCGGTCAGTCCTAGAGGAGATCAATCCTGACTGCTCTTTAGAAGGCCAGATCCTGAAGAGGAAACTCAAATACTTCGGCCACCTAATGAGAAGGAAGGACTCCCTGGAGAAGAGCCTAATGCTGGGAACGATGGAGGGCAAAAGAAGAAGGGGACGGCAGAGAACGAGGTGGCTGGATGGAGTCACTGAAGCAGTCGGCGTGAGCTTAAGTGGACTCCGGAGGGTGGCAGAGGGCAGGAAGGCCTGGAGGAATGTTGTCCATGGGGTCACGATGGGTCGGACACAACTTTGCAACTAACAACAACAACAAGTTCTGTTCTGTTCTGTTCTATTCTTATTATTCCCTCTCTGTTTACCTCTCACTGCCCACCAATCAACTTCCTGCAAGATGTTTCCATAATGGTCAGTCTTGCCCAGGTTAGTATGCAGCTCCCTATTTCTGCCCAGCTGGATGACCTTGAAGCAGTGCCTCGATGCGGCTTCTACTTTTGCTTTCCCCCCAAGCATCCCGCTCCTTTCATTCCCTCTCCCCACAGACCATTGCCACATAATAGCAACGCATCAGATAGCAGCTGACAAAGACTCACCTTTGGTAGCAGGACTGCCATGTGCTGTTTCCGGTTGGGGGGTTCGTGGGCGATCCACTTGAGAATGGCTTCGAAGACAGCGTCTTCCTGCTTCACGTTGAGTTCGTCCTTTTCAATGATGTCCTTAAACTCATTGACCGAGAGCTCCAGGAATTCAGTAGACGCTTTTACCATTTCCTCAAAGTTGTGCAGGATGAACATGTAGGCGGCCTGACGTAGCTCCGGGCAGTAGTAATACTCGGTGAATTTGCAGATGCCGATGCAATTCTCCAAACAGAGCTGAGACTTCATAAAGTCGGAGCAGGCCCGGACGATACCCATCACGTTAAACTGATCGGCGGCCACCAGGAGCCTCTCTACATTGTCCACTGTAATGGGCACTGTCCTTGTGTAGGCATATTCAATAATGAGCTTCATCATATCTGGGGTAATACCAGGAATATTATATATCTTTTTTTCGGAGTTGTTCCAACTACTGGTAAACAGAGCTCTGAAAAAGAAGCATAACAGTCACGGTGCTGGGCCTCCAAGGGACAGCGTTGGCTTAATACTGGAGTCTCCAAAGTTGGTAACTTTTAAGGCTCGTGGACTTCAACTCCCAGAATTCCTGGCTGGGGAATTCTGGGAGTTGAAGTCCAGAAGTCTTAAAGTTGCTAGGTTTGGAAGTACACCTGGCTTAATGAAATGGCTCCAGCTTGCTCGCTTGGAGTGACTGGGTTCACTCCATGGGAAGACGTTGTAAAGCCATAATTCATGCTAAAGGTTACCAACTAAATATTAACTGACATGGTGATAATTTTTGTATATCTCGTTTTTTCTACGTGTTTCACTTTTATTCTTTATACTGTAACTGCTATTCTAATAGCAAATCCTTCCTAAAAGTTATTGCATTACATTCTTGATTAAATTATCTTTCCATTAATATATAATTTTTTGATACTATTCCAAAAAAAAAAAAAAGGTGGTGTTATTAGCTAGTTTTAGAAAATACACTTTTCCCAAAAGTGTTTTGGGCACTACTGTAGATGTAGAAATCATTCATTCATACATACCATACATACATACATACATACATACATACATACATACATACATACTACATATGTTCCTTAATAAATCAACGAAGAAGTAGAATGTTTGTGATGCATCAGTTTAACTGGGTTTTTAATCTTGTTTTAGGACTTACCTGGAAAGCAAGTCACATTTTAGATTGCATTTATAAGGAAGTATTGAACATTCAAAAGGGTTTGCAAACTTTTAAGCACCATAGATGATTTCTCAGCTGGAAGTAGATGGACTCCTTCTGTTGTAATGCCTTAATCACTGTACCCCATTTAAGTTATTTTTGGGGTGCCAGCATATTCTCTTCTAGAAGAGAGGGTCAACCTATTCAAAGCACCCGAAGGCAGGACAAGAAGCAATGGATGGAAACTAATCAAGGAGAGAAGCAACCTAGAACTAAGGAGAAATTTCCTGACAGTTAGAACAATTCATCAGTGGAACGACTTGCCTCCAGAAGTTGTGGGTACTGCAACACTGAAGGTTTTTGAGAAGAGATTAGACAACCATTTTGTCTGAAATGGTATAGGATCTCCTGCTTGAGCAGGGGGTTGGACTAGAAGACCTCCAAGGTCCCTTCCAACTCAGTTATTCTGTAGAGGGTGGAAGCAAACAAATTTCTGACTAGATCTCACAATATCCTAAAATCATTTCAAAGGGATCCATTTTTCCCCCTAAAAAAAAAAAACAAGACACTTAAGCAAATTTCAAATTCCATCTGCCTTTTGTATAGCAGCCTTACCAAATTTGATGTTCTCCAAATGTTTTCTAATTGTAATGCAGAATCGTATCTGGAAGTTGCAAGATGTGGAGAAAACTGCTCTAAATTCTCACTCTTGCTGTGATACTATCTTGTGCATTATGGGTTGTTGGTTTTTTTTTTTTTTTTTTGCACAGTAGTATTGAACACCTCCTGGGCCACAAGCAGGGCCCTACAAATGTTGAAGGGTTAAAAACTCCCTTCTTTTATTTTAGAATGTCATTTAATCCGAGAAGGCAAATAATATCCCTTTTTTTTTAAATGCTTTGCTATCTGTGGTTTTTATTTAAAAAGAGGAGTTATTTCAAAGGAAGCTAAAGACGTTTCCTCGGAAAGATGCTTACGGAGATTCTAAATCATCCAGGTCACAGTTGTCCCAAAAAGTGCTTTTTCCAACTGGACGTAAGTTTTGTTTTTCCTTTGAATGTGTTTGGCTTCTCTTCCAAGAAGCTTAGAACTCAAGAAGCTTTTTGGATAAGAAGCGAAACATAAAGGGGGGAACAAAAACAAAACAAAACAAAACAACCAAGAAAGTCCAGTTGGTTGTTTTGGAAAACACACCTCCACAAAGACCCTTACGATTAGAATTTCTCATTACTACAACCGGGGGGGCAAAAGGTGTATTTATTTATGGTTAAACTTATATGCTGCTTGTCTGGCCAGAGGCCACTCAAGATGGCTACAATAATCCTTAATGCTGTCCAGATGAGAGAATCCACCATCCAACTAGATGGGAGAGCTTGCCTGGTTGCTTACATCCCTTTCAAGAGACGGGGAGCACTGACCGAAAATAAGAGCTGCAGCTACAGAGAATGTTCTTATGAGCATTGAATTCACACCCGTTGACTTTGATGATGACGTCACACAGCTTCCCTTCCAGCCGAAGTTCGTTGAAGACCGTACAGGCCATCGCACTCATCTTCCGCTCCATGTGGCGATAGGAGTACCCTGCCGAAGCAGAGGCATCATCCATTCTTTCAAAGTGGGGGAGGCAGCGGGAAGAGCTGCCAGGCCTTCCACTTAACCCTCCTCTTGGAAAAAAGGGTGTGATTGGTCCAGGGGTTCCAGAACCCCCTCCCATAATGAGACCCTTGACATGACCAGGTTCTAGAACTCCAGCTGCCCTCCGAAGCTAGCGGGCTCATTGCCTTCACCAGAGGGAGATGGTGGCGTTGGGCATCTTGAGGGCTCCTCGATGTCTATGGAGATTCTCCATCATCCAGGTCACGCCTGGAGGGGATTGGAGGCTAAAACGTCTAAGGAACGGTTGCTGGAATTGGGTAGTCTAAATCGAATGAAAGGGATTAACGTGGTGGCTCAGTGGCTAAGATGCTGAGCTTGTCGATCAGAAAGATCGGCAGTTCGGTGGTTCGAATCCCTAGCGCCATGTAACGGAGTGAGTTCCTGTGACTTGTCCCAGCTTCTGCCAATCTAGCAGTTCAAAAGCACATAAAAAATGCAAGTAGAAAAATAGGGATCACCTTTGGTGGGAAGCTAACAGCGTTCCGTGTGCCTTTGGCATTGAGTCATGCCAGCCACATGACCACAGAGACGTCTTCGGACAGCGCTGGCTCTTTGGCTTTGAAATGGAGATGAGCACCGCCCCCTAGAGTCAGGAACGACTAGCACATGTGTGTGAGAGGAACCTTTACCTTTAGTTGAATGAAAACAAGGACTAGGGGTGACAGGGGCTGCCACAAAGAAGAAGGAGTCAAGCTATTCTCCAAAACTCCTGAAGGCAGGACAAGAAGAAATGGGTGGAAATTAATCAAGGAGAGAAGCAACCTGGAACTAAGGAGAAATTTCCTGACAGTGAGAACAATGAATCAGTGGAACAACTTGCCTCCAGAAGTTGCGGATGCTCATCATTGGAGGTTTTTAAGAAGAGATTGGTCAACCATTTGTCTGAAATGGTATAGGGTTTTCTGCATGAGCAGGGGGTTGGACTAGAAGACCTCCAAGGTCCCTTCCAATCCTATTATTTTGTTCTGTTATTCTGTTAAATTAAGTATCCTGTACAGCCGCCATGCTGGGGGAAGTTTATTTATATCTTAACCCCAAGAAATTCTGGTTGATGGCCACAAGATCAGGTGTCTGGAGGCTAAAACATACGATGAATAGGTAAGGGGACTAGGTATGTTTAGCCTAATGAAGGGAAGGCTCAGGGGAGACATGATAGCTGTCTTGCAGTACTTGAGGGTCTGCCTCAAAGAAGAGGGGGTCGATTTATTCTCCATACCGTTTAAAAGCAGGACAAGAAGCAATGGATGGAAACTAATCAAGGAGAGAAGCAACTTAGAACTAAGGAGAAATTTCCTGACAGAACAATGAATCAGTGGAACAACTTGCCTCCAGAAGTTGTGAGTGCTCCAACACTGGAAGTTTTTAAGGAGATTGGATAACCATTTGTTGGAAATGATACAGGGCAGTGATGTCTAACCTTTTTGCTGTTGTGTGCCAAAAGTGGAGGGAGCATGGGGGGGGGTTGCACATGCACGTGCCCACACCCATAATTCAATGCGTCTCGACCCCCCCCCCCCCCCATGCACGTGCGATTCCCCCCCATTCCCAATGGGTAGGCCCGTTTTTTACCCTCTCAGGCTCCAGAGGCTTTCTTGGAGCCTGGGGAGGGCGAAAACGGCCTCCCCCTCCCCCCTGGAGGCTCTCCGGAGACCCGAAATGGCTTGTTTCCCGACTTCCAGTGGGACCAGAAGGCCAGTTTTTTGCCCTCCCCAGGCTTCAGAGCCTTTCTAGGAGCCTGCGGAGGGCAAAAACAGTCTTCCCCACCCATCTGGAGGCCCTCCGGAGGCCGGAAACAGCCCGTTTCCCGATTTCCAGTGGGCCCGGAAGGCCCGAAAATCAGCTGGCGGAGCTGACTTAGGGCAACGCTCGCATGCCCACAGATATGACTCTGCGTGCCACCTGTGGCACGTGTGCCATAGGTTCGCCATCATGGGTATGGGGTTTCCTGCCTGAGTAGAGGGTTGGACCAGAAGACCTCCAAGGGCCCTTCCAACTCTGTTATGGTTGTCCCAAAGGTGCTTAACTTTGGGGTTTTTTTCCTTGAAAACATTTCACTTCTCTTCCAAGAAGCTTCTTCAGTTCTAGAGGGTTCCTCCTTCCTACGCCATTCAAAATGAATCATGCTTGGACATGGCCCACCTCTCCTTGGAGGAGGGACAGCTTGAAGGCACAGTGCACTTTTTCCAGTGCTGAAATGTTTTAAAAAGACTGGTGCTGGAAAACCAGTAGGGTTCAGCCTTGACACCCAGATTGTATGTTTTACAGATAGAAGAGAATGTTTGAAATTCAGAGTTGAACTGTGGGGTCCTTGATGCTCTCTGAGCATGGCAGTTTTCTTGCAGACATTTCATTACCCAACTAGGTAACATCATCGGCGCTAGACGGGAGTGGGGTGTGTGGAATGGAGGACGGCAACTGTGGGGTCCTCTGTGTTTTTCTGAGCTTGGTGGTTTGCTTGCAGACATTTCATCACCTAATTAAGTAATATCATCAGCACCAGAAGGGAGTGGAGTGGGATTTGCTCTTTTTAATATATACTAATTATATACGGATGGTTCCTTGATCAGGCTGTTGTTTATTGTTGGGATTGTTTGCAGTGGTGGGTTTCTACCTGTTCGGACAAACTGGTAGCGACTGCGGTGGGAGGCTCCGCCCACCCACCTGGACATCATCACAGAATGCAGAATGACATCACAGAATGACGCAGAAGCGCCGCGCACGAGCGAAGCAAGCACATGTGCACGCTCACAGTTCCGAACCAGTAGCGAAGGTAAGTGAAACCCACTACTTATTGTTTGTCTATGTTGGTAAATTCCGTGATTGGGGTATGAAGTGTGTCACTTGCTTACAATCAAGTAAACAGCAAGGAACTACCAACACAGTCTAACCAACATTTTTTTGGGGGGTTGTATTTTAAGGATTTTGAATAATAATCAAACACAGGATTTTCCAGTTCTTAATTGTTCGTCGGGAAATTTCTCCTTAATTCTAGGTGGCTTCTGTCCTTGATTAATTTCCATCCATTGCTTCTTGTCCTGCCTTCAGGTGCTTTGATAGGAGTAGCTTTTCCTACATCTTTTTAAAGGTTTTTTTTTCTCCCTTCTCTTCATAACGCATGCACACACTTCACTGCCCTCATGGTTATTTCAAATTTGGTAATTGAAAGGATGCACGTAGCGCCCAATGATGTTGAAACTGGGCACTGCACAGAAATATCCACACACTTTTAATGCCCAGCTGTCTCTTACATTTCATCTACTGATGATTTCTACTGTCAGGAAGGTACCAAGTTTTATGACCCCAAAAGCAGAAAAATCTTTTTTTAAAAAGACGAGACGCGGGCATGAAACCGAAGGAGGAAACTAGGCGAAAGCAATTAAAGAAAGGTTCCTGGTTTTAAAAGGCTGGAAAGCAGATGAGAGAGCAAAATCCGTTTTCCGCCTGATTTACCGAGCAGCGAGGTTTTTGATAGAGCAATCCAAGCGTTTCAAAGATTAAAAGAGCAGTTTGAAAAGGAGCAATTCTTATCGATGCCCTTTTGTGGCTTGGTAAATCCATTCGGGCAGAAGCGTTGGAGAAAAGGGGAGATCCAGCAAACCAAGCCATGACATTCTTTATTGGACTTTAATATCCTTAACGCAGCGTTTCACAACTGTCGCAGCTTTTAAGATCTGTGGATTTCAACTTCCCTCAAGATACGAAGCTGGCAGGAATAGCCGACACCCCAGATGATAGGTTCAAGGTCAGTGGTGGCAGTCAAATTATTTTACTACTGGTCCTGTGGGCGTGGCTCGGTGGGCATGGTGTGGCTTGGCGGGGAAGGATACTGCAAAATCTCCATTCCCACCCCACTCCAGGGGAAGGATACTGCAAAATCCTCATTCCCACCCAGCTCCAGGGGAAGGATACTGCAAAATCCCCATTCCCATCCAGCTCCAGGGAAGGATACTGCAAAATCTCCATTCCCACCCAGCTCCAGGGGAAGGATACTGCAAAATCCTCATTCCCACCCCACTCCGGGAGAAGGATATTGCAAAATCTCCATTCCCACCCCACTCCAGGGGAAGGATACTGCAAAATCCCCATTCCCTCACCACTCCAGGGGAAGGATACTGCAAAATCTTCATTACTTCCCCACTCCAGGGGAAGGATACTGCAAAATCTCCATTCCCACCCCACTCCGGGGGAAGGATACTGCAAAATCTCCATTCCCACCCAAACATAAATTCAAATTATGTTGAATTTCAAAATGAAATTCAACATAAAGAAAAGCAATGTCTCACAGTTAGGCAAGAAAAACCAAAAGTACAGGTAGGGATTGGGTGAAACCTGACTCAATAGCAGTAACTGTAAGGGGGTTTTGGAGTCCTAATGGACAATCATTTAAATATGAGCCAGCAGTGTGTGGCAGCTGCCAAAAAAGCCAATGCAATCCTAGATTGCATTAACAGAGGGATAGAATCAAGATTACGTGAAGCACTAGTACCGCTTTACAAAGCTTTCATAAGACCACATTTGGAATGTTGCATCCAGTTTTGGGCACCCCATTACAAAAAAAAAATTTTTTTTGAGACTTTGGAAAGAGTGCAGAGAAGAGCTGCAAAGATGATTAGGGGCCTGGAAGCTAAAACAAATGACGAATGGCTGAATGAATTAAGTATGGCTAGTCTAGTGAAAAGGACCAGGGATGACAGGATAGCAGTGTTCCAATATTTTGGGGAGGGGGGGGGAGGCTGCCACAAAGAAGAGGGAGGGGTATCTATTTTCCAAAACACCTGAAGGCAAGACAAGAAGCCATGGATGGAAACTAATCAAGGAGAGAAGCAACCTAGAACTCAGGAGAAATTTTCTGACAGTGAGAACAATTAACCAGTGGTACAACTTGCCTCCAAAAGTTGTGGGTACCCCATCACAGGAGGCTTTTAAGAAGAGATCGGAAAACCACTCGTCAGAAATGGTGTAGGGTCTCCTGCTTGAACAGTGGGTTGGACTAGAACAGAGGTCAGCAACCTGAGGCTCTGGAGCCACGTGTGGCTCTTTAACTCCTGTGCTGCGGCTCCCTGTCACTCAAAATATGCGTCACAACCACCAATGTGCGACACCCGCCGGCACACGATTTATTGAGCTTTTCAACGCCCGGCAGGCCAACCATGGATAAATCCAAGAAAAGAAAAGTTTCAG